TAGTCTATAGTCTAATTCTGTTCTGTAGTCTTGCCTAAGTCTAATGTATAGTCTAGTTTATAGTCTAGTGTATAGTCTACTCTATAGTCTAGTCTATACTCTACTCTAGTTTATAGTCTACTCTATAGTCTAGTCTATAATCTATTCTATAGTTTGTTCTATAGTTTTATCTATTGTCTAGTCTATAGTCTTGCTTGTAGACTAGTGTATAGTTTTGTCTATAGTCTAGTTTATAGTTTAGTCTAATCTAGATTCAATTATATTGTCTAGTCTATAGTTTTGTCTATAGTCTAGTGTATAGTTTTGTCTATGGCCTAGTCTATATTTTAGACAATAGTCTACTTTACGGTCTAGTTTATAGTATAGGTTATGGTCTAGTCTATAGTCTGGTACATAGTCTAGTCTATAGTCTAATCTATAGTCCAGTCTATTGTCTAATCTATTCTATAGTATTTGGTCTATAGTTTTGTTATATAATATATATATACATATATATAGTCTTGTTTATAATCTTTTTTATAGTCCATCTTATAGTCAAGTCTATAATCTTGTCTATAATCTTGGCTTTGGTCTAGTCTACAGTCTACTTTATTTTCTAGTGTACAGTCTAGTCTATTATCTAGTTTTATGTCTGGTCTATTCTATAATCTTGGCCACAATCTCTTTTATAGTTTGGTCTATTTTCGAAACGTTCTAGTTTGATCTTTAGTTTAGTATTTCACCTCGAATTCTAAATTTCACCACAAATTTTTTTATTCAACTCAACTTTTAAATTTCTCCCTAATAAAAATTATTATTTTTTTTATGTTATTTAATATTTCTTCATAATATTTTTCATTTATTTATACGTTTTTTTGTGTTTTACATAAGTTTTTTATAATTTTTATCAACTAATATTAATATTTATGTTTTTTTTTATGCAGTTTAGTATAAGTATTTTAAATGTCTGATTATGTTTTCTGCTGGATTTATCATTTATTATTAATTTATTACTAACAAATATGTTTTTGACTTTTCTTTTTGCTTATTTTTTATATATAGAATTTCTAAAAAAAGCTTTTACTTACATTTAAGAATAATTTATATTTAATATAAAGGAAGTATACTTTGTTAAATATATATTTTTAATATTAATATTATGGGGGAGAGCTTTGAGAGAATTTTCCCGAACAAAGACAAAAGTTTATACTATTAGCAATCTAAATCCTGGAAAGTTTTTCCATTTTCTAGAGCTTTGCCTTTCAAATTGCATTAAAAAGTCAAGTTTCTGAGTGAATGCTTTTAGGCACTCACTGTAAATTGATATACTTTAGATATCATTCAACTTTTTCTCTTGATTTTGGGGAAAACTCCTTTCTTTTTCTTTTATTTCTTTAAAATCTTTTAAATTTTGATTTTCTAATGTTTAAAACAATAGATATATTTTTGGGGTTCATTTTGTTTTCAAATAACAATAAAAATAACACAAAAAATTAATAATAAAACTTAAGTTATTAAAAAAAAAAACTTTAAAATTCAAGGAACATTTTAAATAAAATAACAAACTTTTTAGGAATTTTTCTTAAAAAACTTACAACTAAGAATAAAAAGTAAGAAATTAATTAAAAAAAAATGTTTTAGCAGTTCCTTATAATATATTGAAATTTCATTTTCAATTGATTTTTTCCATATTTTTCATTCCTCTAGCAGGAACTGCAAGTTTAGGTAACGTTCAACGTTACTTAAAACAGAATTACTTAAACGTTGCTTGACGGGATAGTAAAACGTAAAGTAACGTAACTTAAAAAAAAACAGTAAATATTATATTTTACTTTTTCAATAATTTTTTAATGTTGAGAGTTTAAAATTGTTTAATATAAATTTCAAAATTATCTTCTGACATAGATTTAAAACTTATATATCTATTTAACCAAGAAAGCTTTAAAATTTTAAAGCATATCAAAACCAATATTACTTACATATATAAAAAAGAAAATTCCCTTTTTAAACAAAAGTATTTAATAAAAAAATTTCAGTAAATAATTTACAAAAACCAGTATATTTTAATTATTTATTGTTTCCGAAAAACTTCAATAATCGTTCCAAGATCAATGGATATTATTGTAATAATACACATCAGAAAACTAGACTTTAATCAACGAAATAGACTAGAATATAGTCAAGACTAAAGGCTAAACAATAGCCAAAACTATAGATCGAACTATAGTGTCCAAAGATAAGACCATAGACTAAACGGTAGACATAGAGTAGATTATATTTTAGACTATAGAATAGACTATAGTTGAGTCTATAGACTACACTTTATCTAAGGCCATAGACTGTAGTCAGGACTATAGAATAGACTATTGTCAAGACTACAGAACAAACTATAGAACAGACTGTAGTGAGAACTATAGAATATACTATAGTCAGGACTAGAGAATAGGATATAGGCTGTACTAGAGAATAGGATATAGGCTGTACTTTTGAATAGACTATAGTCAGTATTGTATCATAAACTGTAGTTAGGATTATAATATAGTCAGGAGTTATAACATAGTTATAGCATAAACAGGTTATAACATAGTCAGGACTAGAGAGTCTATAGTCTATAGTCTAGTCTATAGTCCAGTCTATAGTCTAGTCTATAGTCCAGTCTATAGTCCAGTCTATAGTCTAGTCTATAGTCCAGTCTATAGTCCAGTCTATAGTCTAGTCTATAGTCTAGTCTATAGTCTAGTCTATAGTCTAGTCTATAGTCTAGTCTATAGTCTAGTCTAGTCTAGTCTAGTCTAGAGTCTAGTCTAGTCTAGTCTATGTCTAGTCTATAGTCTAGTCTATAGTCTAGTCTATTAGTCTAAGTCTATAGTCTAGTCTATAGTCTAGTCTATAGTCTAGTCCTATAGTCTAGTCGATAGTCCTAGTCTATAGTCTAGTCTATAGTCTAGTCTATAGTCTAGTCTATAGTTCTAGTCTATTAGTCTAGTCTATAGTCTAGTCTAGTATCTAGTCTAGTCTAGCTATAGCTAGTCTAGTCTATAGTCTAGTCTATAGTCCTAGTCTATAGTCTAGTCTATAGTCCAGTCTATAGTCTAGTCTATAGCTAATCTATCTAGTCTATAGTCTATCTATATTCTTAGTCCTATAGTCTAGTCTATAGTCTAGTCTATAGTCTAGTCTATAGTCTAGTCTAGTCTAGTCTTATCTAGTCTATAGTCTAGTCTATAGTCTAGTCTATAGTCTAGTCTATAGTCTAGTCTATAGTCTAGTCTATAGTCTAGTCTATATAGTCTAGTCTATAGTCTAGTGTAGTCTAGTCTATAGTCTAGTCTATAGTCTAGTCTATAGTCTAATCTATAGTCTAGTCTGTAGACTACTCTTTAGTCCAATCTATAGTCTAGTCTATAGTCTAGTCCTTAGTCTAGTCTATTGTCTAGTCTATAGTCTAGTCTATAGTCTAGTCTATAGTCAAGTCTATAGTCTAGTCTATAGTCTAGTCTATAGTCTAGTCTATAGTCTAGTCTATAGTCTAGTCTATAGTCTAGTCTATAGTCTAGTCTATAGTCTAGTCTATAGTCTAGTTTATAGTCTAGTCTATAGTCTAGTCTATAGTCTAGTCTATAGTCTAGTCTATAGTCTAGTCTATAGTCTAGTCTATAGTCTAGTCTATAGTCTAGTCTATAGTCTAGTCTATAGTCTAGTCTATAGTCTAGTCTATAGTCTAGTCTATAGTCTAGTCTATAGTCTAGTCTATAGTCTAGTCTATAGTCTACTCTATAGTCTAGTCTAGTCTATAGTCTAGTCTATAGTCTAGTCTATAGTCCAGTCTATAGTCTAGTCTATAGTCCAGTCTATAGTCTAGTCTATAGTCTAGTCTATATTCTAGTCTATAGTCTAGTCTATAGTCTAGTCTATAGTCTAGTCTATAGTCTAGTCTATAGTCTAGTCTATAGTCTAGTCTATAGTCTAGTCTATAGTCTAGTCTATAGTCTAGTCTAGTCTATAGTCTAGTCTATAGTCTAGTCTATAGTCTAGTCTATAGTCCAGTCTATAGTCTAGTCTATAGTCCAGTCTATAGTCTAGTCTATAGTCTAGTCTATATTCTAGTCTATAGTCTAGTCTATAGTCTAGTCTATAGTCTAGTCTATAGTCTAGTCTATAGTCTAGTCTATAGTCTAGTCTATAGTCTAGTCTATAGTCTAGTCTATAGTCTAGTCTATAGTCTAGTCTAGTATATAGTCTAGTCTATAGTCTAGTGTATAGTCTAGTCTATAGTCTAGTCTATAGTCTAGTCTATAGTCTAATCTATAGTCTAGTCTGTAGACTACTCTTTAGTCCAATCTATAGTCTAGTCTATAGTCTAGTCCTTAGTCTAGTCTATTGTCTAGTCTATAGTCTAGTCTATAGTCTAGTCTATAGTCTAGTCTATAGTCAAGTCTATAGTCTAGTCTATAGTCTAGTCTATAGTCTAGTCTATAGTCTAGTCTATAGTCTAGTCTATAGTCTAGTCTATAGTCTAGTCTATAGTCTAGTCTATAGTCTAGTTTATAGTCTAGTCTATAGTCTAGTCTATAGTCTAGTCTATAGTCTAGTCTATAGTCTAGTCTATAGTCTAGTCTATAGTCTAGTCTATAGTCTAGTCTATAGTCTAGTCTATAGTCTAGTCTATAGTCTAGTCTATAGTCTAGTCTATAGTCTAGTCTATAGTCTAGTCTATAGTCTAGTCTATAATCTAGTCTATAGTCTAGTCTATAGTCTAGTCTATAGTCTAGTCTATAGTCTAGTCTATAGTCTAGTCTATAGTCTAGTCTATAGTCTAGTCTATAGTCTAGTCTATAGTCTAGTCTATAGTCTAGTCTAGTCTATAGTCTAGTCTAGTCTAGTCTAGTCTAGTCTAGTCTATAGTCTAGTCTAGTCTATAGTCTAGTCTATAGTCTGGTCTATAGTCTGGTCTATAGTATAGTCTAGTCTATAGCCTAGTCTACAGTCTAGTATATACTCTACTCTAAAATCTAGTCTAGACTATTATAATCTATAATCTATTCTATAGCATAGTCTATAGTCTACTCTTTAATCTAGTCCATAGTCTGGACTATAGCCCTATCTATAGTCTGAACTAGTTTATAATGTGGACTATAGTTTAACCTAAGGAATCTAAAAGATTCCACAAAAATAACAGCACAAATTTAAATCGGGTTGAAAGAGATGGTATTGCAAATAATTGCTGCTACAAAATCCCACAGATCTTGCAAGATCAGTTTTTTACCTTTAAATTTTTTTAAAAAATACTGGTTTCTCTAAAAATTCTTGGTTTTAAAATAAAAAAAAATAAAATACTGTTATTACAAAATATTTTTTTCGAACTACGAGCTATGGACCATGCTAAAAGGGAGTGATTTTTACATTAATTTGTTTATATATATAATTTTTTTTTTAAATTTGTAAAACAAAAACTATTTATTAATTATAGTATTTGTGCTTGTTCATCTAAATGCCACTAAAATTGTGTATGTTATTTCCACGTAGGATGTCAGAGAAGTGCGTTTATAGGTTATAAATATATATTTTCTAAAAACTATTATATTGTATTCATTAAGTTTATGATTTTTCTTTCTTTTATATAGCGTATATAAATATATATTTAAATTTATTCCTCTTGTCCGTAGTACTCTTCAAAATCTTCAAAATAACTACTATCATGATCTTCTAAATCATGCGGTGATATTAGACGAGCTAAAGAATCCTGACTACTGCCTCTACTATTATCATGATTACTAAGAGCACCACCAGCCCCAGCAGCAGCAGCGGCAATACCTTCTTGTTCTAATTGTATTTCCTCGGTCGTATTAAAATAATAGATTTTATCTGTATGCCCCAAATAAATAGAGGGTACTGCATCCGTTTTAAGTTTATTAGTGTCGTTGTGTTCAAAACATTGTGCCGGGAAATGTCTTTTACATATACGATAATTTTGTGCCCGAAAATCGGTATAGTCTAGTTTTAAATTTGCAAACCATTTGTGTGAGATATCAGGATTATAGGGGAACTTGTAAAGAGGCTTTTGCGGATTAATACAACCATAAACTATACATTGTTCGGGTGGTGTTTGCAAATGTTCGGGTATATCGTTTTGATGTATAAAAGAATTTTCATTTAAATTTAAATTCAAGGTGGGCACGGACCAGGGTTGTAGTTGACCTTGTTCATTAAAGCATATCGTTTCAAAATGTTGTTGACATATATTATATTGATTTTCCTGATAATTGCGAGGATCTATTTTTAGATTAAAACACCATTTTATAAATATTTCCGAATCGTTAGGGAATTCGGTAAATAGACGTATACCTGGGGTTTCTGAATTATTGGTACATTTTTGTACACAACATAAATAGATTTGAGATTTAATGTCGCTTATTACAAAATCGGTTTTAAGAGGAGGAGAACGATTTGTCTGGTTGTATTCATAGTTTTCCGTTCCCTCCAGTTTTTGTATGCTAAAGAGCGAGCAGGGATTAGTTTCAAGTGGTTCTTCTTCTTGGATTTCAAGAATTTCCTGTTTTATATCCAACAAAGGATAGTTATCTGTTTCGGAAAATTTCTTGAGCTCTAATTGTGTTTCCGTTATTTGACTTTCTTCATATGCATTCAGGCAATCATGATTTAAGGAATCTAAGTTTTCACACCATTCCTCGGAATTATCTAGTTCCTGTTTGACCTGTATAAAATCATCTATGGCCGAGGGTTGAGGAGAGTTGAGTGAAGTTTCTAGATCATCTAAATATAATATGGGTATAGCTGTTTCCTTTAAAGTTTTATTTTTATTAAAATCACATTTCTCAAAATGTAAATCACAAATACGCAAAGTTTTCACCTCATAATTCGCACAATTCGTTAGACGTAACCATTTTTTAAGCATTTGAGGGTTTAAGGGAAACTTATATAATCTATTAAGAGATTTTTCCTTTAAACCTTGATTATTAGGACAAGATTTAAGGCAACATTTGCCAGTTGCATCTTGATTATAGGGCAAAACATTACGCTTAGTTTTTTTAGGTAAATTTAAAGTGGGTATTGCCGTATCCAAAAGTTTCTTTTGTGCAAAACATTCGCTGTCAAAGTGTAATTCACAGATTTTTGCTGTTGCTAGAGATTTTAAAGTATTAAAGTCCATATCAATATTATGGCACCAGGTTTTACTTATATCTGTTTTGGGAAAGGGAAATAGTTTTAAAGATTTATACAACATAAATTGATGATCTGTTTTACAACCTGATACCACACATTTATCATATCTGTTCACTTTATATAGTTTAGTGGACTTTGGTTTGAGATTTTCAAAAATTTGTTTTAAATTTTCTTTATTATTTGTTTGCAAAATTTTGCAACTATTTATGTTTTTATGATTGATTTCATAGAGATTTATAAAATGTTTAGCACAAAATTTAATGGCTTGTGTATGACGTTGCCAGTTTAATTCATGTTGTTTTAATTCCCAACTGGATTTGTTGACCTGTAACCAAATATTGTGACAGATACCCTCATTAGGCCAATCATATAGTTGTAAAGTCTCTTCCCTACACAAAGGATGTGAACATTTGGTGTTTATAATTTCTGCTGGCTCATGACTTTCCTCTAAATATAAAGTGGGCACTGAGCCTAGTAGTGGAATTCTTTTTTTGTTTTGTAAAGAAGTGGTCTCAAAATGTTTTAGGCAAACATATGTGCATTCCCTAATCTCTGGTTTATCTTCTAGCTTTAAGTTCTCTAACCATTTTTTATATACCGTCTCACATTTGGTGGGTATTTTACAAAATTCTCCCACCAAACCATCACAGTTTTTAACACAGCAAGTTTTTGAGGTATTCTCTATATCCTCCAGATCTTCTTCAGCATTTCCTTTTATTGCTAAACTGTCTGAAAGTAGAGTAGGCAGCATTCCCGGTTTGGGTTTGCGACAATCTATTAAAGCTTTTCTCTCAAAATGTCTATGACAAATCCAATCATTAGCACTTAAAGTATTCTCTTTGATATTTAAATTGTAACACCATTTACTTTTCAATTCTGCTTGCTCGGGAAATTTGATTCTATTGATTTTATCATATTGTGTAGAACGTTGACAACACTTCACTCTACATCGAAAATAGCTATAGTATTTTAGGGATTCATTAGTTTGATGTATAGCGGGTGAACCCAGCTTTAGGGTAGGCACTGCTCCTATCAGTAAACGATAATGGTTTTTCAGACATTGTTTGTGAAAGTGTTCTATGCAAATTCGAAAACGTCTTAAAGCCCCTTTTGCGCTACACTGTCTTTGATTGAGTTTACAATTGACCAGCCATTGTTCTCGTAATTTGCGTATATTAGGTAGTTTGAAGAGCGGTATATGATCCTGATATTTATGATAGTTGCGACAGGTTTTTATGCAGCAACCTATAGGGTTTTTACCTTTGCTGTTTGGTAGTTTGTCTGGTTCTTCTGTTATTTCTGGATCCATTAATTCATTTTCACTATGATCACTTGGTTCATAATCCGGTCGTGCTTGTAGATAATCATCTTGTGAGTCTTCATAGGGATAGAGTTGTTCGTTGGTAAAACTATCTTGACTGTAGTCTAAATTATCATTTTGCTCGGGATTTTTGTTCTGCTCTAGATATTGTTCTTGTGTCTGATAACTATCTTGTTCCTTAAACTCCTCCAATTCCTGTTTAATTTCATATATAGTAAAAGTATTTTCCTGTTCTTGATTACTCTGCAAATAGTCTTCAGATTGCTTTGAAACTTCTTGTGCAGTAAGCTGCTCTTGGTTCTCTTCCTTAGCTTTCCTAGAAGTTAGTTCAACCTCAGTTTCTGTTATTATATTTAGCAATTTCTGTGGAGTTTCATTTCCCTGTTCCTGCTTTATTTGTTCCTTAATTTCCCTTGAATCTGTAGCATTATCGGTCTCTGTTAAAATTTCCAATAAATTTTCCAAATAAGCATCATCTTGCTGTTGAATGTCCGGCACAACTCCACAATTTTCCAGCTGCTTAACTTCATCTAAATTACCTTCCTTATCTTTACCTACTTCTTCTACCAAATTGTTAATTTCTTGTTCTTTTGCCTCTTTCTTTTCTCTTAAAGTTTCCTTCTCTTTAGCTTTCTTGGTTAAAGGTTTTGTTTTTACAACTTTTGTTATTTTAGCTTTCATACTTAAAGCTTTCTTTCTTAGAGTTTTGGCCTTGGGATCGTAACGATTGATAAGTTTATCGGGTTTTCTTAAATGTTGCAAAGGCCTTAAAGCTTTCGCTCTGAAAGATTTTGACTCCACTTTCTCAGTGTCTAACTTAATATCTAACTCCTTGTTGACCTCCAAATCCTGCTGTTGCTTTTCTTCTGTCTCCTCTTTAGCCTTAGGTGTTACTTTCTCCTCTGTCATTCCCTCTTCTTTAAGTTCCTCTTTAATCTTTGATTTTCCATTAAAATTAGGATTTTTGAAAAGCTTTTTACGATGTCCCAATTTGAGAGTAGGCAAAGCCATGGCTCTAATTAAACCAAATCTATTGAAACATTCCTTTTCAAAGTGTTGACCACATAACTTGGCCTCTCTTAAAGACTCCATGGGAATTTCCTTTTCCAATTGCAAATTATGGCACCATTTCCTTAATAAAGTTTTATCTTTGGGAAAGTTAAACAATTGATCCCAAGGACCTTTACACAATTTAACACAACACTTTAAATAGGCACGTCTTACGGGATTGGTATGAAGATCCTTGGGCGGTTTATTTAGACACAGAGTGGGCACGGAGTATTTACGCAATAACTTATAACCTTTATAAAAACAATCCCTTTCAAAATGATCCGAACAAATTCTCATAGTTTCCTGGTATTGCGTTCGGTTAAGGCCTAAATTGTGTAACCATTTTTGTGTCAAAGTATTGCTGGAGGGGAATTTATATAAATAGATTTCTTTGGATTTATTTAAAATCTGCTTACAGCTGTTTATACAGCAAACATAATAGGCTATCTTATCGGCTGGATTGAGATAAAGTTCGGTTTTGCGTTTCAGCTTTAAAGTAGGCACTGACCAGGATTTTAAAGGTTTAATTTTATCCACTGCCTTGGAAAAGCAATAGTTCTCGAAATGTTTATAACAGACTCTTAAATTTAAAGTACATTGTTGTGTGCCCAAATCCAAATTATGTATCCATTTCTTGGCTTCTGCTAGCTTAAGGGGAAACTTATAAAATGGACCCTTAACGGTTGGACAATTGGATACACAGCAGTGTTTAAGATTTTCATGATGAGAGGGTAAAGCTTCGGGTGGATTGACATATAAACTATTGTTGAAAGGCAACTTTAGGGTGGGCAAAGACCAACGATGTAACTTTTTCTCACTTAAACATCTTTCCTCAAAGTGTTGGGCACATATGCGATAATTGTTGCGCTGATCATAGTCAAATTTTAAACCGGTATTATGCAGCCATTTATTGAATAAAGTTTGATCTTTGGGAAATTTCAACAACTTCCATATTAGTTTGAAACCGGAATTACATTTGGGTATATTACATTTGTAGCTTTGTAGACCAGGTAAAGCTTTAAGCTCATTATAGGTTACCGACAACTTAACATATTCCTTGGATTCTTTAAGAAAGGCGCTATATTTTTCCAAGATTCTTTCGAAAAAGGCCACAAAATGTACGGAACAGATGTATAGCGAGGTATTAAAAGTAGTTTCCATTTCCAGTTCCTGAAACCAAAAACTTTGCAACATTAAATCTTCGGGTAATTTGTGATAGTAGAAACCCTCGATGGTGCAATTATCCAGACAACATTTTATAAAATTATTGCCATAAATATCCGAGTCCGTGTGACCCAAGTTGAGGGTGGGTAAAGCTTGAGTTATTAAATCCTTATTGGATATCTTACAGCTCTGCTCGAAATGTCTATCGCATACACGTAGATCTTTAACCTCGGACTCTTCTACCTGTAATTTCAAATTATACAACCATTTCTCCAAATCCTCTTTGTGCTTGGGAAATCTATACAAATGTTTAGCTTCTTCCGATGTTTGCTGGCAATTCAAAACACAGCATTTTCGTGGCATTTCATACAATTCCTCATTGTTTTTGTAGAACCAGTCTTTGGAGGCTATCTCCAGGAATTTGGTGGGTATGGCATTCTCATGTAGTATCCCTTGTTTGATACAACTCTTATCGAAATGCTTACTGCAGATAACATCCTGGCTATTGTAAGTCTCGGCCGATAAATTCAAATTAAACAGCCATTTCTTAAGTATCTCAGGTTTTTGTGGCATTTTGAATAGCTTCACCTTATCCACACTCGGCGTCTTTTGACAATTCTCCACTAGACATTTACTTTCTTGAGTATTAGAGCTCAACACTAAATGACTCTCGGTTTTAATGCCCAAATTCAAAACAGGTACAGCATTAATTTTCAAATTATCCGAACCCACCATGAAACTTTCGATGCCAAAATGTTTGCTACAAACTTTATAGTGGTTATTTAAAGCCTGTCTCAATTCTATTTGCAAATTGTTGCACCAGATTTTACGCAATTCGAAACTTCGCGGAAAAGCATACAACTTCAAGTTCGTTTCCTTGCACTGCTCAATGCAACATTGTTCCTTAACACTATTGCTATTAACCCTTTTCAAGCGCAACTTGCGACAATTGCGTGTTATGGCTCCCGTATGCCCTAGATTCAAAGTGGGTAAAGCTCCGTTTCTTAAATGCCGTCTTTTGTAGAACACATACGGTTCAAAATGTTCACTGCAGATTTTCAATTTCTTTAGTTTACTTCTATCGTAAGGGAGTCTTAAGTTTTTACACCATTTCTTAACACTCATACTTTCGTTATCCAAAAAGGGTATTAGGAAAATCCTTTCCGTATTAACATTACCACAGTGCTTAAGAAAACATTTTTCTTTTGCTGGCGTTTTGTGCTTAACAGTCTCAAAATCCTTGGGATTATTTTTGTAAATAGGCTCACGATTAGCATAGCTTAGCTCTAGGGTAGGTACAGCCTTGGGATGTAATTTGCCTTTTATGATACAATTGCTTTCGAAATGTTTTGCGCAAATCTGTAAATCGTTGGGTATGCTTAGCTTTTCGGGTAATCTTAGGTTTTTATACCATTTCTTTAGCATAGTCTCATCAGTGGGAAATTTAAATAGCTGCTCCATTGGCTCCTTCGCCAAGTCCTTCTCTTTCTTCTCCTGTTTTACAAATTTCTTGCGTCGACAATGTTTGAGGCAACATAGCCGAAAAACCGATTGCTTGCTGGTTTTACTATGCTTATAGGGCGGTGGAGGCTTTAGATTGCTGTCAGCTTCTGGCAGGTTAACTGTTTCCGTACAATCCTTGGTTACCGTTTTCTTTGGCGGCATTTCCTCTGAATTAGAGTGTTTTGCCTGGCGATTAGGTCCTAGATTCAAAGTAGGCACTGCTCCTTGTCTTAGTCTTCGGGTGCCTATGACACGCAATTCAAAATGATCTATACAAACACGTCCGATACATTCTTCGGGCTGTAAGCCTAGATTATCACACCATTTCTGCAATAACTGAGGATCTTTAGGAAATCCATAAGTGGTTAAGTGTTGTTCCGGGGTTTTCTCCTTACCACAGTGTTTTAGACAACAAATAGGAGCTACTGCATTAAGGGCTTTATCGGTTCTAAGATTAGTGCTATTAGCATAATCCATTTCTAAGGGCAAAGAAGTATTGGTGTTTTCATCTTCTGACAATTCCAATCTTTCACGTTTAACACTAAAACTGTTCGATTCTGTATTGTCTCTCTTTAAGGGGTTTACAGTAGAGTTAGTTTTAGTTTCATTATGGTTATCGTTTAGTTTTTCTAGTTTAGGTTCGGGAGTTTGAGTTGCTCTTAGTTGTTCAGCTTTTTGATCGGGTGTGACCGAACGTGGTTCTCTAAAACCAAAGAATGATTTATTATCCGGTGTTTCGGATCTTAACTTAAGTTGTCCGCTATTGGGCTTTTGTTCAGGAGTTTCGGAACGCAATTCCTTTAAACTAGAAGCGGGGGTTATAGATCTACGTCCTCTTAAACTACTGGCTGGTGTTAAGCAGCCAAATTCTCTTTCATATGAGGAACGAGAACATAAATCCATTAAGTCTTCGGGTGTTAAAGGTGTTATGGAGACTCTTACCTCTTTAAATTTAATAGAACTCCAATCGGTTATGCTAGTGGTAACACTCAATTCATCATCTTCTTGTGGTCGTTTGCTATTACTTTCCTGTTCTTCTAGTACATCTTCTTCCTCCTCTTGCTCATCATAGTAGACCACTTCTTCTTCCTCCTCCAACTCCTCTTCTTCCTCCTCTTCCACCTCTTCCTCCCGTTCTTCCTCTTCTATTTCGGTTTCGCATAATTCTTCATCTTCTTCCTCCTCTTCCTCTTCCTCCCCGGAATGTGGCTCATATTCCTCTTCGTACAATTCTTCTGTGTTTTCTTTTGTTTCTAAAGGATCTACTTTTACTTCCTGTTCCCTGGATTTCAATTTAATTTTCTCTTTTAATTCCTTATTATCGTATATATCCACATCCTCATGGCCCAAATTTAAAGTAGGCACTGCTCCATTTTTCAATTTCTTTTCTCCTATAACCTCCTTTTCAAAATGTTCATGACATATTTTGCCTTTACATTTCTCCAGTTCTAGTTTCAAATTTTTCGACCATTTCTCCAGAAATTCCGGTGATTTGGGAAACACAAATAAACGCACTCCTTGCGCCACCGTATGATTTTTACAGTGCACCAGCACACAACGTTGTATTTGCAGAGATTGTACTTTGCGTGGATTGTCGAAAATAGCATCCGTGTGACCTAAATGCATGGTGGGCACAGCCCAGGCTTTCAGTTGTTTGCCCTCCAGACATCTTTTGTGAAAATGATGATTGCAAATTTTAACATTTTGCAATTTATGCGAGGATTTCATTTGGGAAATTTGTAAATTATGCAGCCATTTACGTTTCATCTTGGGATTGCTGGGCAAACTGTAGAAACGTACACCATGTTTCAATCTAGACTTGCGGCAGCTGGCTATATAGCATTTAGCGCTGTCCAAAGACTTTTTGATCTTAACCTGTTTCAATTGTATGTCGGCTATCTGTTCGGGAGCCTCAAACAACTCTTGACGTATAGTGGTTTTATTGAGATGCTCAGGAGCCTCGTCATGACCCAGATTCAAAGTGGGTATGGCCCAAGAACGTATGCGACAGCTGCCAAAGCATTGTTTTTCAAAATGCAAAGAGCAAATTTTCAATAGAGGTGTAAAATGATGAGACATTTTTAAATTATCACACCATTTCTTTAGTAACTTATCATCACAGGGAAAATTAAAGAGTTTAATGGTATCATCTTCCGAAGATTTTTGATAGCTGCAATTTTTCACCGCACATTTAACAATTTGAGGTCCCAACATTCGTCGATCTAGTTTAGTAAGATCAGGGTTTTTATACAAATGTTTATCTTCCGCTAAAGGTAAATTTAAGGTGGGTATGGCCCAAGATCTTAATCTTTGGTTTTCGGTTATACAATAGGATTCAAAATGCAAGGCGCATACTTTATTCATATAGCGGCGATGTTCATCGGGTATTATGCCGGTATTGTGAGACCATTTATTAACCAAATTTTTGCCATACGGAAAGAAAAACAGTCTTATAGAGGAGTTTAAGAGATTGGTGGGACAGTCGGCCACACGACATTGATAGCTATTGACCACCAAAGATATGTTAGACTTTTGATAATTATATTGTAGTTTCTGAAAATCGGATTTCAAATCGGTATTTTCCTCTGCTAATTCCATCATTTCGGCTTTAAGTTGGCTGAATAGGGTTTGGAAATGTAGGCCACAGATTCTAGCTTCACTGGGTAAGTCCTCTTCATCCGTTTCTCCCAATTCCTTTATCCATAATTGTTTAAATTCTTTGGTTTGCGGCAATTCATAGGGTTCACGCATTATGCTTTTGGGTGCAGAACAGTCTGAGATACAACATTTGATATCTCCTGGCTCTAGACTTAAAGGATCTGTGTTATCTTCCTCTGGTTCCTCACACTCATATTGCTCTCTATTCTCCTCCCTTAAAATGCGTCGTCTCTCTAGTCTTTCGGCATCCTTTTGTTTTATAAACAAATTTGGTCTTATTCTATCGGGATTGATTTGATACAAGTCATCTACATCATCGTGGCCCAAATTCAAAGTGGGTAAAGCTCCAAAGTTTAATCTAGTTTTACCCACACACACCGCCTCGAAATGATCATTGCAGATTTTATATTTTTCTCTTTCCTTGAAATTGAGATAATCTAATTTTAGGTTATGTTTCCATTTGCGGAATAATTTCAAATTCTTGGGGAAACTATTCATTTGAGCTTCATCATATTTGCGCGTTTTACCGCAGGTGGGTACACAACATTTGAAGAGGAATTCTCCGGCTCTTTGTTCGGGCGGTGGATTGGGTATTATATCCACTAAATCATCTTCTCGGTGTCCCAGCTTTAAGGTGGGTATACCCCATTTATATAGCTGGCGTGGTCCTATACATTCCGGTTCGAAATGCTTGCTGCATATCTTAATGCCCACACAATCATTGGGTTCCATTTTAAGATTATTACACCATTTCTTAAGTAAAACATCGTCATCACGGGGAAAACGGAAAAGTCTTATGTCTTCCATATCTTTGCGCGAATCACAGCCATTAACCACACATTTCTCTAGATCAAAGAAAGATCTGGTCTCATTGGGATATAAATCTTTAGCTTCGTGTCCCAGTTTCAAAGTGGGTATAGCTCCAGGGGATAGTTTTCTTTCGCCCACCGAATGAGGCTCAAAATGTTCGGCACAGATTCTTAGCTGAGAGCTTAATTTGCCCTTAGGCCAATTTTTGATGTTATGACGCCATTTATATAATATGGAGCGATTGTTAGGGAAACGGAAGAGTGAAACACCATCTAGTTTTGTTTTACCACATGACTCTATGATGCATTTTCTTTGAGTACCCATTTTGATTTGTTTTAAACGGGCAGGATTTTGATAGATTTTATAGCCGGGAGGAGCATTTAAATCGAGAGTGGGTACAGCCAACGACATGGGACAACGTTTGGTTAATACCGAGGATTCAAAGTGGCTGGAGCAGATGCGTCGATGAGAACTACCCACCAGGGGTAACTGTAAATTGTGACACCATTTCGCCAAAGTCTGGCGGTTATTGTAGGGAAAACGAAACAGGTGAACCTTATCTACCGAGCGCATTTTACGACAATGCGGCAGGCAACAGCGTGGTGACCATTTAATGGCTTCTTGACTGCTGATTAACCTCTCCGGTTTGATTTTCTTTTTATAGATGGTGGGCATGGGCGGTGGATTTTCGAAAAGATGCTCTACTTTAGCGCCCAAATTGAGAGTAGGCATGGCCCAGTTAAGCAAACGTTTGCCTATACAATGCTGTTCGAAATGTAAATTACAAATCTTCATATTGGGCAATTCTGCCACATCCACCTGTAAGTTATGAGCCCATTTAACCAATTGCTCAGCATCCTCGGGTGGTCTATATAATTTGACATCATCAATTTGGGGATTACGTTTACAGCTGACTACACAGCATTCACCTTGCTCATCGCCATTATTGGGGGCAAAAGGCTTAACCCAATTCTCATTAATCTCCTCTTCAGAGGGTAGAGCATGAGGTGCCTCATCCCAGCCTAAATTTAAAGTGGGTATGGCCCATTTTTCCAAACGTTTATTGCGCAAACAGCGATCTTCGAAATGTATCTCGCAGACAGCATCATTAAAGAGTTTCGTACCATCCGGAATGGGTTTCTGCAGATTCTCACACCACTTCTGCAGCAATTCAGGGTGTGTGGGGAATCTATGCAGATTAGCATGATCACGATCACGATTTCTTTTGCACGATTGTATGCAGCAAGTTTCGCGTATATTAAGTTTCTTAATAACATCCGGATTGCGATAGATATTGGTGTCATCGTGACCCAACTCTAGAGTAGGTACAGCAAAGGGTCTCATACAGCCGCCTATGCAATACTTTTCAAAATGAGCACTGCAGATTCTAACACTTTTATGCATTTTAACCAAATCCATTTTCAAATTGTGGCACCATTTCTTCAGCTGTTCCGGCCGCTTGGGAACCGTATGCAGAGTTATATCAGCTGAATGGCGGGTACGTTTACAGGAGGGCACTAGACAAACGTCGCCCAAATCTAAATTATTGGAATTATTAGAGTTTGCAGCAGCAGAGGCCGAATATTTCTGCACCATGGATGAGGCATTCATAAAAACACCATCATAGATATGTGATGATCCAGCCATTTCCTGTTTAAACATTTCAGCATATTTATGAGCCTTAGACGAGGTGGAGGGTTGTGGTGGCGGAGGCGGTGGTGGTGGTGTGTAAAGTTCATTTTCGTAAATATTAAATCTATCATTATGTCCCAAATTTAAAGTAGGCACTGCGCCAGGATTAAGTTTCCTCAAGCCTAAAGCCTCTTTAATGAAATGAGAAGAACATATTTTATGATTTTTACCTCTATACATATTGGGATCTAAGCGCAAATTATAACACCAACGTCTCAGCAAAGTTTCATCGCGTGGAAATCTGTACAAAGATAAATTACAATCATACGATCTGCTGCGGCGACAGAAGGGCAAAAAACATTTCTTTTCCTCTTGATAGATATTCGGATTATCGTGTATTTTACCATAAACCGTGCCCAGATTGAGGGTGGGTATGGCCCAGGGTTTTAAACGAAACTTGCCAAAACATTTCTCCTCAAAATGGCGCGAACAGAAAAATCTATTATCTTTACTATGAACCGGCAAACGGGAATTTTGACACCATTTAATCAAGGTTTTCAAATCGCGTGGAAATACATGAAATTTTACATTAGTTTCGCCACGCTGCGAAGGACAACCCGGCATACTACACTTGGCCATTTCACCGGCCGGAAACCCCCCCGAACTTTCTCTATTCTGATATAAATTACCCACATCATCGTGACCCAAATTGAAAGTGGGCACTGCCCAATAACTTAAGGAATACTTAGCTATACAACGTTTGGGAAAATGTAAACTACAAATACGATATAAACCATAATTAACATTAGGATCATAGATCATTTTCAGATTATGCAACCATTGTGCTAAATACTTTTCATCTCTTGGAAAACCAAAGAATTGTAAGGAAGGCGAAGAGAATTTACGTACCCCACACTTGGGTACACAACAAATGGCATCTTCATCTTGTATGGCATCGTTATTATTAAAGGAATACGATGAATTAGTAGAGCTGGAAGCATTATCTTGAAAATCCTGTAGAAATGCTAAATTTGGATTGGAGCCTGCTGCATAATCGGCAGGAGGATAATCATTGTCATAAGCCGTAAAATCTGATTGATCCATGGGTGGATAAAAGTCAGGTTCTACTTTAATTTCTGTTTTTACCTCTACCTGTGGCTCCAAAGGAAAATCATTAGAGGCATTAAACGAATTAGCTGCTTCCATGGAAGTTTTTGTAGAGGAAGGTTTATTATATAAAGCTTCCAAATGCTGACTATTAGCCGGAGGTATATCTACAATAGAAAACCATTATAAAACATTAAAATTTCCTATTATTTCTCTTCCTCTCTCTATTACCCACCTTTTAAGGAGAACGTATGAGCTATTTCCAAATTCGAACTTTCCGGTTTTCCCAGATAAGGTGTTGTTGACGTGGAGGACGTTGACGACGAGGTAATTGGTTTTTTAAAGGCTATTCAAAAATAAACTTTCAGTTTAGTTCTACTACTTCAAAATAATGTTTTTCATCTTGTTTGTTTACCTTCTTTATCGTAAAATTTTCCACAGAAATCTTCATTGTTTATGTAGTGATCATGCAGTTCCAATGAAGTTTGAAAACATAAACGACAGATACAGCAATCGAAGCGTGGCTGGTATTTATGCTCATTTAGATGGACAAATAATTGATCGCGTTGTGTTACACTTATACAGCATATCTGGGAAAGAAAGAGAGATGAAAATAATTAGTTAAGTTTAAGGAAGAATTACTCAAGAGATTTGCAGGCTTTACATTAAATTTTTCGTTAAAAAAATTTATAGATTTTAATAAAAAAAATTTTGTGAAAATTAGAATTTTTTGTGAAAAATATAATTTTCAGTTAAAAATAGAATTTTTAGTTAAAAATATAATTTTAGGAGAAACATAATTTTAGGAAAAATAAAATTTTTAGTGAAAAGTAGTTTAGTTCTAGTTCGGTTATAGTTCAATTATAGTTCAGTTCTAGATCAGTTCTAGTTAAGTTCTAGTTCGGTTCTAGTTCAGTTCAGTTCTAGTTCAGTTCTAGTTCAGTTCTAGTTCAGTTCTAGTTCAGTTCTAGTTCAGTTCTAGTTCAGTTCTAGTTCAGTTCTAGTTCAGTTCTAGTTCAGTTCTAGTTCAGTTCTAGTTCAGTTCTAGTTCAGTTCTAGTTCAGTTCTAGTAGTTCAGTTCTAGTTCAGTTCTAGTTCAGTTCTAGTTCAGTTCTAGTTCAGTTCTAGTACAGTTCTAGTACAGTTCTAGTTCAGTTCTAGTTCAGTTCTAGTATTCTAGTTCAGTTCTAGTTCAGTTCTAGTTCAGTTCTAGTTCAGTTCTAGTTCAGTTCTAGTCAGTTCTAGTTCAGTTCTAGTTCAGTTCTAGTTCAGTTCTAGTTCAGTTCTAGTTCAGTTTCTAGTTCAGTCTAGTTCAGTTCTAGTTCAGTTTCTAGTTCTAGTTCTAGTTCAGTTCTAGTCAGTTCTAGTTCAGTTCTAGTTCAGTTCTAGTTCAGTTCTAGTTCAGTTCTAGTTCAGTTCTAGTTCAGTTCTAGTCAGTTCTAGTTCAGTTCTAGTTCAGTTCTAGTTCAGTTCTAGTTCAGTCTCGTTCAGTTCTATTCAGTTCTAGTGCAGTTCTTAGTTCAGTTTATTTCAGTGCTAGTTCCGTTCTAGTTCAGTTCTAGTTCAGTTTCTATTTCAGTTCTAGTTCAGTTCTCGTTATTCTGTCAGTTAGTTCAGTTCTGGTTCAGTTCTAGTTCAGTTCTAGTTTTTCAGTTGCTATTCAGTTCTAGTTCAGTTCTGTTCAGTTTTATTCAGTTTGTTCTCGTTCAGTTCTCGTTCATTCTGTTCAGTATAGTTCAGTTCTAGTTCAGTTCTAGGTTCAGTTCTAGTTCCAGTTCTAGTTCAGTTCTAGTTCAGTTCTAGTTCAGTTCTAGTTCAGTTCTAGTTCAGTTCTAGTTTCAGTTTAGTTTCAGTTCTAGTTCAGTTCTAGTTCAGTTCTAGTTCAGTTCTAGTTCATAGTTCTAGTTCTAGTTTGTTCTAGTTCAGTTCTAGTTCAGTTCTAGTTCAGTTCTAGTTCAGTTCTAGTTCAGTTCTAGTTCAGTTCTAGTTCAGTTCTAGTTCGTTCTAGTTCAGTTCTAGTTCAGTTCTAGTTCAGTTCTAGTTCAGTTCTAGTTCAGTGCGAGGGCAGGGGCGAGGGCGAGGCAGTAGGGGCAGGGCGAGGGCAGTTCGAGGGCAGGGCAGGGCCGGTCGAGCGAGGGCAGGCGAGGGCAGTTCTAGGTCAGTTCAGTCAGTTCTAGGCAGTTCGAGTCAGTCGAGGTTCAGTTCTAGTTCAGTTCTAGTTCAGTTCTAGTTCAGTTCTAGTTCGTGTCTAGTTCTAGTTCAGTTCTAGTTCAGTTCTAGTTCAGTTCTAGTTCAGTTCTAGTTCAGTTCAGTTCTAGTTCAGTTCTAGTTCAGTTCTAGTTCAGTTCTAGTTCAGTTCTAGTTCAGTTCTAGTTCAGTTCTAGTTCAGTTCTAGTTCAGTTCTAGTTCAGTTCAGTTCTAGTTCAGTTCTAGTTCAGTTTAGTTCTAGTTCAGTTCTAGTTCAGTTCTAGTTCAGTTCTAGTTCAGTTCTAGTTCAGTTCTAGTTCAGTTCTAGTCAGTTCTAGTTCAGTTCTAGTTCAGTTCTAGTTCAGTTCTAGTTCAGTTCTAGTTCAGTTCTAGTTCAGTTCTAGTTCAGTTCTAGTTCAGTTCTAGTTCAGTTCTAGTTCAGTTCTAGTTCAGTTCTAGTTCAGTTCTAGTTCAGTTCTAGTTCAGTTCTAGTTCAGTTCTAGTTCAGTTCTAGTTGTCAGTTCTAGTTCAGTTCTAGTTCAGTTCTAGTTCAGTTCTAGTTCAGTTCTAGTTCAGTTCTAGTTCAGTTCTAGTTCAGTTCTAGTTCAGTTCTAGTTCAGTTCTAGTTCAGTTCTAGTTCAGTTCTAGTTCAGTTCTAGTCACTTCTAGTTCAGTTCTAGTTCAGTTCTAGTTCAGTTCTAGTTCAGTTCTAGTTCAGTTCTAGTTCAGTTCTAGTTCAGTTCTAGTTCAGTTCTAGTTCAGTTCTAGTTCAGTTCTAGTTCAGTTCTAGTTCAGTTCTAGTTCAGTTCTAGTTCAGTTCTAGTTCAGTTCTAATTCAGTTCTAGTTCAGTTCTAGTTCAGTTCTAGTTCAGTTCTAGTTCATTTCAAGTTCTGTTCTAATTCAGCTCTAGTTCTGTTGTAGTTCAGTTTTAGTTCTTCTCTAGTTCAATTCTAGATCTAGTTATGTCCTACAAAAAGATTTAACTTTATCCTGACATACTTACATTACATTTAAACATTTCATATTCATGCTGTCCGTATTCATGTTGTTCACACTCTTCGATGGTTTCATAGAATTTCCCGCAATATTTCTGACAAAAATATCTATGTGAACGATGTAATTGCTCATGTGTCTGCAGCTCCTCATTAGACATAAAGGACATGGGACATACGGAGCATTTAAAATCGTATTCAACAATATTGCAACTGGATTGAGCAACATGTTGTGTATAGTTTTGACGTTTTAAAAAAACTTGTTTACATCGTTGGCATATGGGCAGAGTTGAGGAACGTTCTGTTTGTAATTTGCGACGAGGAAAGTTAAGGGGCTGTGCACAAAAAAAAAATCATAGAAAGAAATAAGAAAAAAATTACAGAATGAGTGAAAATAACAACAACAACAACGACAAGAAAAACAAACAATAAATTTGTACCAAAACAAAAAAACGAGAAAAAATGAATGAAAATATTTGTGTTGTAGTACCGTTGTAGTAAATGTTTGTGCGAAAATGTGTAAATTTGTATGTATGAATGTAAATGTACATAAATATATACATATATGTATATACGTATGAATGTGTGTAGTATATGGTGTATAGTATTGTAGGTTATGTTATTGTTTATTTTTGTTGTTATTTCGTGTTTTTTTTCTGCAATCATATTGTTTTGTTTTGGATTTTTTATTTTGATTTTACCTTTGCTTCTGTTTTTATATTAGCCAAGGATATTTGCTGATGCTGTTGTTCTGGTTGTTGCTGTTGTTGTTGTTCTTGTTTCTGTGGTTTTTGCTCTACTGGTAGTAACGTAGTAGTAGAATTCTCGGAATTTAAACATTGTTGTGTTTGTTGGGAAACATCTTCATTATGAGTATTTTCACTCTGATGTTGTGGATAATCATGAGGTTCTTGCTTTATTTGCTGTTGTTGTTGCTGCTGGTGTTGATGATGTAGTTGTTGCTCATGTAAAATCTGTTGTTGAGTACGTTGTTGCTGCTGTTGTTGATGTAGCTGTTGTTGTTGCTGTTTTTGCAGTTCATATTGTTTACGTTTTTCTTCCATGTGAAAAGAAGAATTGTTTTCAATTTGTGGCGCACTTTTGTGATAACTACTACTCATATCATCCACAGGTTCAGCTAAACAAGAAATAATAAAAAAACATTGTTTATTGCAATTGTGAATAAATTATAATGTAATTAAAATAGAACTGAACTAGAACTCAAGTTGAAATGAACTAATACTCAACTATAAATTAACTAGAACCAATTTAGAACTGATCAAAAACTTATATAGATCTGAACTATAACTGTACTAGAACTGAACTAGTACTGAACTACATAGATATGGAACTAAACTAGAACAGAACTAGAACTAAACTATAACTAAACTATAACTGAACTAGAACTGAACTAGAACTGAACTAGACCTGAACTAGAACTGAACTAGAACTGAACTGGAACTGAACTAGAACTGAACTAGAACTGAACTAGAACTGAACTAGAACTGAACTAGAACTGAACTAGATCTGAACTAGAACTGAACTAGAACTGAACTAGAACTGAACTAGAACTGAACTAGAACTGAACTAGAACTGAACTAGAACTGAACTAGAACTGAACTAGAACTGAACTAGAACTGAACTAGAACTGAACTAGAACTGAACTAGAACTGAACTAGAACTGAACTAGAACTGAACTAGAATTGAACTAGAACTGAACTGAACTAGAACTGAACTAGAACTGAATTAGAACTGAACTAGAACTGAACTAGAACTGAACTAGAACTGAACTAGAACTGAACTAGAACTGAACTAGAACTGAACTAGAACTGAACTAGAACTGAACTAGAACTGAAGAACTGAACTAGAACTGAACTAGAACTGAACTAGAACTGAACTAGAACTGAACTAACTGAACTAGAACTGAACTAGAACTGAACTAGAACTGAACTAGAACTGAACTAGAACTGAACTAGAACTGAACTAGAACTGAACTAGAACTGAACTAGAACTGAACTAGAACTGAACTAGAACTGAACTAGAACTGAACTAGAACTGAACTAGAACTGAACTAGAACTGAACTAGTACTGAACTAGAACTGAACTAGTACTGAACTAGAACTGAACTAGAACTGAACTAGAACTGAACTAGAACTGAACTAGAACTGAACTAGAACTGAACTAGAACTGAACTAGAACTGAACTAGAATTGAACTAGAACTAGAACTGAACTAGAACTGAACTAGAACTGAACCAGAACTGAACTAGAACTGAACTAGAACTCGACTAGAACTGATCTAGAACTGAACTAGAACTGAACTAGAACTGAACTAGAACTGAATTAGAACTCAACTAGAACTGAACTTGAACTGATCTAAAACTGAACTAGAACTGAACTAGAACTGAACTAGAACTGAACTAGAACTGAACTAGAACTGAACTAGAACTGAACTAGAACTGAACTAGAACTGAACTAGAACTGAACTAGAACTGAACTAGAACTGAACTAGAACTGAACTAGAACTGAACCAGAACTGAACTAGAACTGAACCAGAACTGAACTAGAATTGAACTAGAACTAGAACTGAACTAGAACTGAACTAGAACTGAACTAGAACTGAACTAGAACTGAACTAGAACTGAACTAGAACTGAACTAGAACTGAACTAGAACTGAACTAGAACTGAACTAGAACTGTACTAGAACTGAACTAGAACTGAACTAGAACTGAACTAGAACTGAACCAGAACTGAACTAGAACTGAACCAGAACTGAACTAGAATTGAACTAGAACTAGAACTGAACTAGAACTGAACTAGAACTGAACTAGAACTGAACTAGAACTGAACTAGAACTGAACTTGAACTGATCTAAAACTGATCTAGAACTGAACTAGAATTCAACTAAAACTCGACTAGAACTGAACTAAAAATCAACTAGAGAACTGGTCTAGAACTGATAGATAAGTAATACATACTTACACACATACATATGTATAAAATTCATAAATTAAAATCTGTAGTAAAATATTTTTTTTTTTAACTTTAAGCAAATAAAGAAAATTTGCTTTAACATTTAATGCTTTAAGAATGTTTTAATATTGATTTTTGTAATTGAATAAAAACTTTTCAGTTATTATCTTTAATAAAAATGGAGAACATTTAAAGTTTTTCATGTACATTCAGTTAAAGTTTTTGTGCAAATAACACCCTTTTAGAAATAAAGCAAAAATAAATCTACCAAATTTGAACAACTACTATCACCCCCTCTCCTTCACCGAAAAAGGTGTCAAATGGCAAAAAGCCATTAACAAACATTTATAGATGGAAATTTACTTAAAGAGAGAAATATACACAACAAAAAGTGGAAAAGAAAAAACTGAACATGACCCCAAACAACCTTAACAAAGGAATAATTTTGTATTTAATAAATTTATTACGTAAATAATAATTATTTTATTTATTATTAAAAATAAATATTAAAAAAAAATGTAAAAGATAGCTAGAAGATAGATAGATAGATAGATAGATAGATAGATAGATAGATAGATAGATAGATAGATAGATAGATAGATAGATAGATAGATAGATAGATAGATAGATAGATAGATAGATAGATAGATAGATAGATAGATAGATAGATAGATAGATAGATAGATAGATAGATAGATAGATAGATAGATAGATAGATAGATAGATAGATAGATAGATAGATAGATAGATAGATAGATAGATAGATAGATAGATAGATAGATAGATAGATAGATAGATAGATAGATAGATAGATAGATAGATAGATAGATAGATAGATAGATAGATAGATAGATAGATAGATAGATAGATAGATAGATAGATAGATAGATAGATAGATAGATAGATAGATAGATAGATAATAGTAAAAAATATAGAAAAATATAAAATTTTGAAATATTCAAAGAAAATTTAAAAGCTTTATTTAAAGCAAAGTTACTTATTTTTTGTAAGGAAAAATATAAATTACTTTGCAAAATTTTCTAGATTATTTATACTTGGGGGCAAAATTATTTACTTATGTACACAAAGAAATGAAAAACGAACAAAATAATGATATATTCGTTTAGCTCTATTAGTTATAGTATGTGCAAATGTTGAAAATGGATAGTATTACATTTATAGGGATACAACTTAAAAACACGAGTCAATAATTTTGGGTGTGTATACTAGTAGCAAGCCATATACAATTATTTCTATATATTTAGAGAGGAATGTATTGAGTTTGATGGGGTATACTATATTGTATATGTACACATATAACTTGTGGGTATAGGTAGAGATATTATAGATGGAGATGGATGATTTCCAAATGCTGTTGCCACAAAATGAAACCAACCAGCAAAGCCAAAACCAAACCAATCCATAGACATACCAGAGCAGCAGTCTCTACTGTTTCTACGTGTTTTTTTTTTTTTTTAGTTTTCTTGTTTTATTTTATAAAATTATATTTTGTTCGTCTTTAATTTTTTGGCTCATGGCAAAATATATATTCGTATTTCGTAAACGAATAACTCTCTGCTGGTTGTATTACTACCAAAAAAAACTTTTCTTGGCATTAAAAACTTTTATGTATTTTTCCCACTTTTATGAAAGTTGTTCTTTAATGTATTTTTTTTACAGTTTAGTATATAGCAAAAATATTAAAAGTATAGTTAGTATAGAGTTGTGTATATATACTACGTACTATATCCCTTGCTTAAATGAAAACCCACCCAGACCTAAAGCTGACATCGTTGTCTTCCACTAACATTACCCACTTTTATAGCTTCCCAACTCTATAAATTGGAAATGTTGATTATACAGCATAATGATAAAAAAATAAAAAAAATAAAAAAAAAAATAATTTATAAAATATTGCAAAAATTCTTGTTCCTTTTCCAAAAACAGAAATGTAATATAATCAAAATTGATTACTTTGTTTTCATGAATTTCAGTTGGTTTATAGTTGGATAGATTTTTATGTTCAAAAGTACTTGGAAGTTTACAATTTGAGTTATTTTCTCAATTCTTGTTTGGGTGTTTTTTTTTTTTTTTTTTTTGGTCGTGTATTCATGGTACTTTATGTTCCTCAAACATTTCACTTCGCCTTTGGTTGGTTGGTTGGTTGGTTAGTTGGATAGGTAGGTCAGTCACTTTACAAGTGGAAGTAATAACAGCCGTCATTGTAAATGTACTAGTTGTAGTAGTCGTTGTCGTCGTCGTCGTCTCCATCTACATCGTGTTATTTTTTTTTGGTTTCGTCTTTGTCGTCGTCACCTTAAAATCAACCTCCTGTCTCACCGTCCCTCCACAAAAATATTCATCATCATGTTTTTTTTTTTTTTTGTTGTTCGTTGATGACGATGATGATGATGATGATGCTCTTTGTAAATATTTACTCAGCTCTTGCTGGATACATACTAAAAATTATAGATTATTTTCTTTCCATTTACAAAAATTTTCAATGTATTTCTCTCTACCTAACAAATAAAAACTGCAATGTAGAACATTTTTTCTGATTATATCATCAATTTTTTGTAGTTTTTCTTCTTTGGTTTTTCGTTTTTATTTTCATGTTTTCTATCCATTTTTGTAATTTTTTCGTTTTTTAAGTTTTTTAATTGAATTTGCAAAATTATTTTGTTATTTAATAGATTTTTTTTGTAATTATATTAAATATTTATTATTTTTAATTTTTTACAAATTTAATGTAATATTCTATATTAAATTATTTTTCAAATTTTAAACTTTTTAAAAAACTTTTATTTCTATTAATTTATTTAAAAATATCTTCAAAATAAACCTTTAATTTTTAATTAATGAATTTTTCCAAAATTTTTCCAATAAATCTATAGTTTTCAAAAAATATTTCAATAATTTTTTTCTTTTTTTTCCTAACTCGTTTCCCTACTCGTTCTGCTTTCACGTTAAGAACTAATTTTCTAGAAGTTTCTACTTATAACATGTATATTACTCGAAAGTCACCGACATAGCCGAAATTTTTTTCAATTTTTTTTAAATTTACCATCGCCATCTTTGACAGAAGGCAAGAGACCACATTGTCCCGTTTCTGGCTTTCTCCTCATTCATATTAATATCTCCTGGAGAGGCGATTGGCTTCTTAAGTTTCAGTTGCAATTCAGTTCTAATTCCGTTATAGTTCAGTTATAGTTTTTTTTCATTTATTTATTCATTGCAGAAATTACATAAAGAAATTAGATTAATACTAAACAGTTGTAGTTCAGTTGTACTTCAGCTTCAATTGTAGTTCAGTTAAAGCTCAGTTGTAGTTCAGTTGTACTTCAGTTGTAGTTTAGTTGTAGTTCAGTTGTAGTTCAGTTGTAGTTCAGTTGTAGTTCAGTCGTATTTCAGTTGTAGTTCAGTTGCAGTTCAGTAGTTTAGTAGTATAGTTTAGTAGTTTAGTTGAAATTCAGTTCTAGTTCAGTTCTAGTTCAGTTCTAGTTCAGTTCTAGTTCAGTTCTAGTTCAGTTCTAGTTCAGTTCTAGTTCAGTTCTAGTTCAGTTCTACTTCAGTTCTAGTTCAGTTCTAGTTCAGTTCTAGTTCAGTTCTAGTTCAGTTCTAGTTCAGTTCTAGTTCAGTTCTAGGTTAGTTCTAGTTCAGTTCTAGTTCAGTTCTAGTTCAGTTCTAGTTCAGTTCTAGTTCAGTTTTAGTTCAGTTCTAGTTCAGTTCTAGTTCAGTTCTAGTTCAGTTCTAGTTCAGTTCTAGTTCAGTTCTAGTTCAGTTTTAGTTCAGTTCTAGTTCAGTTCTAGTTCAGTTCTAGTTCAGTTCTAGTTCAGTTCTAGTTCAGTTCTAGTTCAGTTCTAGTTCAGTTCTAGTTCAGTTCTAGTTCAGTTCTAGTTCAGTTCTAGTTCAGTTCTAGTTCAGTTCTAGTTCAGTTCTAGTTCAGTTCTAGTTCAGTTCTAGTTCAGTTCTAGTTCAGTTCTAGTTCAGTTCTAGTTCAGTTCTAGTTCAGTTCTAGTTCAGTTCTAGTTCAGTTCTAGTTCAGTTCTAGTTCAGTTCTAGTTCAGTTCTAGTTCAGTTCTAGTTCAGTTCTAGTTCAGTTCTAGTTCAGTTCTAGTTCAGTTCTAGTTCAGTTCTAGTTCAGTTCTAGTTCAGTTCTAGTTCAGTTCTAGTTCAGTTCTAGTTCAGTTCTAGTTCAGTTCTAGTTCAGTTCTAGTTCAGTTCTAGTTCAGTTCTAGTTCAGTTCTAGTTCAGTTCTAGTTCAGTTCTAGTTCAGTTCTAGTTCAGTTCTAGTTCAGTTCTAGTTCAGTTCTAGTTCAGTTCTAGTTCAGTTCTAGTTCAGTTCTAGTTCAGTTCTAGTTCAGTTCTAGTTCAGTTCTATTTCAGTTCTAGTTCAGTTCTAGTTCAGTTCTAGTTCAGTTCTAGTTCAGTTCTAGTTCAGTTCTAGTTCAGTTCTAGTTCAGTTCTAGTTCAGTTCTAGTTCAGTTCTAGTTCAGTTCTAGTTCAGTTCTAGTTCAGTTCTAGTTCAGTTCTAGTTCAGTTCTAGTTCTAGTTCAGTTCTAGTTCAGTTCTAGTTCAGTTCTAGTTCAGTTCTAGTTCAGTTCTAGTTCAGTTCTAGTTCAGTTCTAGTTCAGTTCTAGTTCAGTTCTAGTTCAGTTCTAGTTCAGTTCTAGTTCAGTTCTAGTTCAGTTCTAGTTCAGTTCTAGTTCAGTTCTAGTTCATCTATTTCAGTTCTAGTTCAGTTCTAGTTCAGTTTTAGTTCAGTTCTAGTTCAGTTCTAGATCAGTTCTAGATCAGTTCTAGTTCAGTTGTAGTTCAATTCTCAATAATTCTGGCATGAAGTTCGGTAAGGGTCTGCGTCCCACGTACTGTTCAACTCACCAATATCCTTATCTATCTATCTATCTATCTATCTATCTATCTATCTATCTATCTATCTATCTATCTATCTATCTATCTATCTATCTATCTATCTATCTATCTATCTATCTATCTATCTATCTTCTATCTATCTATCTATCTATCTATCTATCTATCTATCTATCTATCTATCTATCTATCTATCTATCTATCTATCTATCTATCTATCTATCTATCTATCTATCTATCTATCTATCTATCTATCTATCTATATATCTATCTATCTATCTATCTATATCTCTATCTATCTATCTATCTATCTATCTACCTATCTATCTATCTATCTATCTATCTATCTACCTATCTATCTATCTATCTATCTATCTATCTATCTATCTATCTATCTATCTATCTATCTATCTATCTATCTATCTATCTATCTATCTATCTATCTATCTATCTATCTATCTATCTATCTATCTATCTATCTATCTATCTATCTATCTATCTATCTATCTATCTATCTATCTATCTATCTATCTATCTATCTATCTATCTATCTATCTATCTATCTATCTATCTATCTATCTATCTATCTATCTATCTATCTATCTATCTATCTATCTATCTATCTATCTATCTATCTATCTATCTATCTATCTATCTATCTATCTATCTATCTATCTATCTATCTATCTATCGATCTATCTATCTATCTATCTATCTATCTATCTATCTGTCTGTCTGTCTATCTATCTATTTATCTATCTATCTACCTATCTATCAATCTATCTATCTATGTACCTAGTTTAAATAGCATTATCTTGCAGTTCTAATTTGACTTCTGCAAAAATTCAATTCAAATTCTACAATCCCAATGTCCATTGACAGGTTGTTTCTAATACCAATAACAATAAATCGAATTAGTTTTAATAAACTTAAAACATTTTGAAAAAACGCAAGAGTAAAGATGACACCATTGTTTTCCAAGTAAAATACCAGCAGACAAAATTACTAATAACTTTACATGATATTCACCGAAATTTCTGCTAAAATCGAAACTACTTCGACAATGTAAAAATAAGCATAATTTGAAGAAGGAAAACCCAACTTTGTCTTTTTACTTTACATACAGCAAACAAACAGGCAGTGATGTCAAAAAATACAACTTACATTTTATGATGATTTCCTCGGTTTGTATAGACGGTGTTACGGTTATTTGCTCTACTGGCTCAGATTTAATATGTTGTAACATGGGGGGTATAACTTGTGAATGTGACCGATGGAGCGAAGTTGGTGGAGCATGATGATAATAATGTTGTTGTTGTTGATGCTGCTGCTGGTGATGGTGATGAGCCTGATGATGCTGATGAAGAGACGTTTGATGTGGATGATGAGTCGACGTTGGTGCATGGTGATGATGATGGGAATGATGAGGATGCAGAGAATGCGAGGCAGCAGCTAAATGATGATGTGAAGAGGAGGCAGGCGAAGAATGATGGCGTTGATTGGGTTGAGAATATAAAGAATTGTGAGAATAGGCATCAAAACCTGCTGCTGATCGAACACTTGAACTGCCGGCGGCTGTTGATAACATAGAGTGGGAATGTGCTGCTGCACTACTACTGTGAGCATGTTGTTGTGCTGTTGATTGTGTTGCTAACAATTCAAGGTCAAAGATTCTGTTACGAGCTGCATAGGCACCACCAGCACCACTATTAGCTGTTGGTGCATTGCTTGGCGCAGCACCCCCACTAATGCCAGCACCAACAACACTCGCACTCGAACCAGTCAAAGCAGCAGCAGAAGAATAATGATGTGCAGGGGAAGAAGAAACCGGCATGTTGTGTGTACTGCCCATTGTTGCTGTATTGTGTGGTGAACTCGGCACTGTAACCCCACCACCACCTGAACTACTAACACCACCTACCCCACCCCCTCCACCAACTCCTCCTGCAACATAACCACTTGTAAACATATGAGGAGCCATCGAATGGCTGTGATGTTGAGCTTGATGGTGCGGCTGCTGCTGTTGCTGGTGTGGAACATGATGGGAATGATGATGAGGATGTTGAGCAGATGGATGCTGAATATGGCGCGAATCTCTTAAATGAAGACCATGTTGATAATGTTGTGGCGCGTACCATTGCTGCTGTTGTTGCTGATGATGATGTTGCTGCTGCTGCTGCTGTGCCGCAGTCAAGTGATGCGGATGATGATGTTGTTGAGCCTGTTGTTGCTGCTGGGGGTGTTGATAGGGAGCATGTATATGATAATGTTTACGTTGATTATTTTGTGACATTTTGTAAACATTAAATGCAACAACAACACAAATGTAAACACAAAATTTCTTGGTAATTTACGCACATAAACACACGCACGAGTACATTTACTTTTAAGTGAAAGAATGAAAAAACAGGAAAAATAAACAAACAACAAACCGGCGAAATCAAATCAAAATATAAACAAACACTCGGCTGTCACTACTTTTTGCCCGTATTGTTGTTGTTGTTTTTTATTATTACAGCCGCTTTGTTTTTGTTTTTTATTTATTTACCAAAAAACCAAAACATAAACACTCTCACTCTTTCTCTCTTTCCGACGTTGTTATTTTTTCATTGCATTTTCACTCTCCTTTTATTTATTTATTTTGCACTCTCTTTATATACCATTTTTTGTGTGCCTTTTATGTATTCACATCTTTTTATTTTTTCCTACTTCTACTTTTTCATATATTTTTTCTTCTTCGTCGTTCGTGTTAAGCTTTGTAATCTGACTTCCCAATTAGAAAAATTTTTCACTTTTGAATTTTCCATTAAAAATCTCACATTTTCGGCACATTTCTTGTAATTTTCTTATAGTTTATTAAGCATTTATGGGTTGTAAATAGATTTATGTTGTTTTTAATGCGTTTTTATGGTTTATTTTGTTATTATTTTTATTGAAAAAGCACTTGTAAAAAATTAACGCAGATTTGCCGTACACGAAAATAATACAACCACTCGCTTTGGTGCCACTTTGACAACTGATTTAAAAATCCAGTGTTGGCATGTGGCGTGTGTTAAGTTTACGTGCAAAAAGTGGTAAACAAAAAGTTCCAAATCTATAAAAAAGGTACTAAAATTGGCTTTGATAATTTGGAACAATGATTGTGAACTTTGAACTCGGAGTTATATTGGTGTTTCTAATGGTTTGAATATAAAATTAAAATTTTAATGGAAGCAGATTAGATAGATAGATAGATAGATAGATAGATAGATAGATAGATAGATAGATAGATAGATAGATAGATAGATAGATAGATAGATAGATAGATCGATAGATAGATAGATAGATAGATAGATAGATAGATAGTAGATAGATAGATAGATAGATAGATAGATAGATAGATAGATAGATAGATAGATAGATAGATAGATCGATAGATTAGATAGATAGATAGATAGTAGATAGATAGATAGATAGATAGATGAGTTAGATAGATAGTTAGATAGAGAGATAGATAGATAGATAGATAGATAGATAGATAGATAGATAGATAGATAGATAGATAGATAGATAGATAGATAGATAGATAGATAGATAGATGATAGATAGATAGATAGATAGATAGATAGATAGATAGATAGATAGATAGATAGATAGATAGATAGATAGATAGATAGATAGATAGATAGATAGATAGATAGATAGATAGATAGATAGATAGATAGATAGATAGATAGATAGATAGATAGATAGATAGATAGATAGATAGATAGATAGATAGATAGATAGATAGATAGATAAGATAGATAGATAGATAGATAGATAGATAGATAGATAGCTAGATAGATAGATAGATAGATAGATAGATAGATAGATAGATAGATAGATAGATAGATAGATAGATAGATAGATAGATAGATAGATAGATAGATAGATAGATAGATAGATAGATAGATAGATAGATAGATAGATAGATAGATAGATAGATAGATAGATAGATAGATAGATAGATAGATAGATAGATAGATAGATAGATAGATAGATAGATAGATAGATAGATAGATAGATAGATAGATAGATAGATAGATAGATAGATAGATAGATAGATAGATAGATAGATAGATAGATAGATAGATAGATAGATAGATAGATAGATAGATAGATAGATAGATAGATAGATAGATAGAAGATAGATAGATAGATCAGATAGATAGATAGCTAGATAGATAGATAGATAGATAGATAGATAGATAGATAAGATAGATAGATAGATAGATAGATAGATAGATAGATAGATAGTAGATAGATAGATAGATAGCTAGATAGATAGATAGATAGATAGATAGATAGATAGATAGATAGATAGTAGATAGATAGATAGATAGATAGATAGATAGATAGATAGATAGATAGATAGATAGCTAGATGATCAGATAGATAGATAGATAGATAGATAGATAGATAGAAGATAGATAGATAGATAGATAGATAGATAGATAGATAGATAGATAGATAGATAGATAGATAGATAGATAGATAGATAGATAGATAGATAGATAGATAGATAGATAGATAGATAGATAGATAGATAGATAGATAGATAGATAGATAGATAGATAGATAGATAGATAGATAGATAGATAGTAGATAGATAGATAGATAGATAGATAGATAGATAGATAGATAGATAGATAGATAGATAGATAGATAGATAGATAGATAGATAGATAGATAGATAGATAGATAGATAGATAGATAGATAGATAGATAGATAGATAGATAGCTAGATAGATAGATAGATAGATAGATAGATAGATAGATAGATAGATAGATAGATAGATAGATAGATAGATAGATAGATAGATAGATAGATAGATAGATAGATAGGATAGATAGATAGGATAGATAGATAGATAGATAGATAGATAGATAGATAGATAGATAGATAGATAGATAGATAGATAGATAGATAGATAGATAGATAGATAGATAGATAGATAGATAGATAGATAGATAGATAGATAGATAGATAGATAGATAGATAGATAGATAGATAGATAGATAGATAGATAGATAGATAGATAGATAGATAGATAGATTTATATGTAAATATAAAATATGATAATTATATCGACAACTTTGTAAAATTATACATATTGTACCAAATAAAGAAAAAGTACCAGTTCGTACCTTGGAAATCAGCACAGATTTTTGAATGTAATTTTTATTCTATCAACTTCAGTGTTGCCAGTGTAGACCTAAAATAATAAAGTTCTAATTCTAAGAAAATGGTTCATATTAAGTAATTTTTATAAAGAAAATTTGAAATTATGCAAAATAGGTTCTGCAAAAGATATATTAATTAATTATTAAGAATATTTATTTTTATTTTTAAAAATTTGTTACAAAACTTTTTAATTATTTTGTTATGTATAACTTCTTCATTTAAATTCATTAATTTATTAACAAAATTTTAAGATTATATGAATAAACGCTAAAGAAAACACATACAGTGTCTCACATAAGTATTTGAATTTGGTTGTACTTTGAAAAGAAACATAATTTAATAATATTTTTTGTGTGTGAAATGAATAATTAAATTTGTTATATTGTCTAGAGAGTCCTAAGGTATAATATCACACTCTTTAAAATTTGGAAAAATTACATTTACCTCAATTGATTTAACTTTTTTTAAAAAAAAGTCCATAAAATTGCCTCACAAAAGTATTCGAATTTTTCCTGTATTTCATATATGACCATATTATACGAAACACAAAAATTATAATCGAGTGGTTTCTTGCTTAAAATTGTATTAAGGGGTTACTATCAACCGAAATTATATATTTTGGGTCCATTTGTTCCACAATTTTGGAGCATTTGTACCATCTTTTCATGTAATATCATTAAAATGGCGATTTTTGATCATATTTGCAATTTTTTTTCCTTTTTTTGCAGAAATAAAACCAATCTTTAATATTGGAATTTAATAGACCCCTTGAGGTATCTAAAAATAATAATTTTTTTATAAGGATCTGTACTTAAAAGTTCCAAGATGTATTTTTGGTATCGTTCTTCTGTTTCTAATTTAATTGTATGGATCTTAAGTCCCTTTTCTTACCACTAGGGTCGATATTTTCCGACAAAGTTGGCTAGTATACATTCATGTACATATTAGCACTAATATATTTAAAATTTTCAATACATTATATCGGTATACAATTCCAAAACATGCCTTTACAAAACGTCATCCTATACAGTAGATTTCAGTTTTTACTATTCGTAACTTTCACGCTTATGTTGCCTATTACAATAACACTGTAAGTCCAAAATTTTGGGTTTATTTTAATCATAGTAATCAATATTTAAACAGGTATCGATATTTTTGAGTTAGACCATAATTATATAGTGGCATGCAGCCTGGAGGTCATTGGTGCATAAAAATAATGATACTACCATATTGAATGGTGTTTCTTCGAGGCATGTTTTGGAGTTGTACACGTCCACAATACATTGAAAACTTAAAATATATAAAAGCTGATATCTAAAAGAATATATACAAGAAAACTTTCCCGAAAATTTTTGACCCTAGTATTATGAAAATGGACTTAAGTTCCAATATATTGAATTAGCGACAGAATAATGATATCAATAATATATCTTGGATCGTTCAAATACAGATTATTGTAACAAAAAATATTATTTTTAGATACTCCAAGGGTTCTATTAAATCCCAATATCAAATTTTGGTTTTATCTTTGGAAAAAAGAGAAAATACTACAAATATTGCAAAAAAATCGCCATTTTAATGATATTACATAAAAAGAGGGTACAAATCCTCAAAAATTTTGGACCAAATGGGCCAAAAATATATCATTTCGGTTGATAGTAACCCTTTAAAACAATTTAAAGCATAAAAACCATTCGATTCTAAAATTTGTGTTTCGTATAATATGATCAAATATGAAATACAGGAAAAATTCGTATACTTTTGTGAGGCAATTTTATGGACTTTTTAAAAAAAAAGCTAATTTAATTTATGTAAATGTAAATTTTTCAAGTTTTAAAAAGCGTGATATCAAACCTAAGGAATGTCTTGACAATATAACAAATTAATTTATTTTTTTTGCACACAAAATATATTATTAAATTTGGTGTCTTTTCATAGTTCACCTAAATTCGAATACTTATGAGAGACACTGTATGTACATATGTATGTACATACATATATGTATGTATTGATATATCAAATGGAAGATAATGTATTCGAAAGATCTTTTGTTAAAAATATTGAATATAGCATCTAATATACATTTAAAACTTTGGTAAAATCATTTAGAACATACATTATTTATTTATTAAATAACAAAAAAACCTCAAATTAAAACAATTATATATTAATAAAATCATGAATTCATTTCTTTCGATCCTTTCTTTTGTCTTCTTTCTTTTCAATTACCTCCTCAACTTCTTCTACATCATCTTCAACTTCCTCCTCTTCCGGCTCATCCGAAAAATGTTTGCTTAGTATCTGAGAATAATTAACCAGATTCGGAGACAACATAACCAGCATATATGTCAAGTAATACAACATTTTAATGGTGACCGTTAAATCGTAGGTCTTGAAATAATGAGCATAAAATACACAAACTAGGAAAAAAATCATAGTTATGGTATGACCCAAAGTACCATGAAGTCCAGCAAACATTTTACGAACATTTAGGGATAAATTAAAAATGCAGAGAATGCCGGTAATAGAGGCAAAGGCCTAGAAAAAGGAAGATATTAAAAAAGAAACTGTTTTTACAAATTACATATGTAGGTACCAAGTAGAACAGGGGATAAGTAAGCCAGATGGCCATGAAATTTGCTCTATGTGGCAATGGTGCCTTTGGCTTGGGATCCAATATCATATTATAGCTTAAACGTTTCTCTTCCCTATAATATTCAACATCGGATAGATGGGTTTCATCGTAAAAGTGTATATAAACCATTAAGAGTAATCCCAGAGTTGTGACAATATGTATGACGATCGTGGCACCATTACGACCAAAAACACGAAAAATGGTTACAGCTTTAAGAAAAGAAGTATATATTTTATTTAATGCTTTTATTGGACTTTTCTTAAACTTACCTGAGGTTAAGCCATAAAATAATACCGTGGTCCATAACAAGGGAAATAGCATTATATCTAGAGCTATAGTGACCGCCATTATAATAACGAGGGCATATACTACAAATCTATAGGGATTGTGGGACATTTCTTGCTCTCAGAATCTAAATTTAAATTTGAATTCGATTTTTTATATATCAAAGTTTGATACAATTTTTAATATTGACTTTTTAGTAGAGTTGTCAATATTTGTTTTTTTCAATTTAGCGTTTTTTGTTTAAGTTTAAAAATTCCAATAGCATATTGAAATTTTTTAAATCTTGAAAAATTAGGCATAGATTGTATAAAAGTTATTTTTTATGAAAAATACTAAATTTTTTGTAAAAATCTCTTTTTTAAGCATTTGAAAATTGGAATTTAATTTCGAAAATTCTAAAATGTTAAAATATTAAACCAAAATGGTTTGAAAGTTATTTGTAATGAAAAATACAAAATTTTTTTTATAAAAATCTCTTGATTTAAGAATATTTGGAAAAGTTCGAAAATTTGAATATTAAGCAAACATTTTTTAAAAGTTACTTAAAATTGAAAAGACAATTTTTTTTGCAAGAATCTAATGATTCATTTTTGATTAAAGATCCAAAATTCAAATTGAATTTCGAAAATTTTAAAATATTGAAAAAGTAAGGAAAAATTTGTTTAAAAGTTATTTTTTATTAAAAAGATACATTAAAAAAAAAACTCTTGATTTAAGCATTTTAGGAAAAGTTCCAAAATTTTAATAGAAGTTCGAAAATTTTAAAATACTGAAAAATTAAGCAAACATTTTTAAAAACTTACTTATTATTGAAAATATTGAATTTTTTGTAAAAATCTCTTGATTTAAGTATTTTTGTAAAAGTTCTAAAATTCGAATAGATTTTTCAAAATCTTAAAATATTTAAAAATTAATTATAAATGGTTTAAAAGATAATTTTTTGCAAAAATCTTTTAATTTAAAAATTTTTGTGAAAGTTCGAAAATTCGATAGAATTTCCAAAAATTTTAAAATATTGAAAAATTAGTCAAAAATTGTTTTAAAGATGAAAAAACTATTTTTTATTGTACAAATCTCTTAATTTAAGCGTATTTGGCAAAGTTCGAAAATTCGAATTTAATTTCGAAAATTTTGAAGTATTGAAAAATTGAGAAAAAATTTTTTAAAAGTTATTTATAATTGAAAATACAAAATTTTTTGTAAAAATCTCTTGATTTAACTGTTCTTGGGAAAGTTCGAAATTTTGAATTTAATTTAGAAAATATTTTAATATTGAGAAATTAATGAAAAATTGTTTTGAAGTTATTTATAATATAAAATACATTTTTTATAAAAATCATTTGATTAAGTCCGAAATTTCAAATTTAGTACAGTTTTGCAAAAGTTTAAAAATTCGAATATAATTTCTCAAAAATTATAAAAATCCTGAAAAATGTTTTTCAGAATACAAGATATTTTTTTAAGAATTCAAATTTAAAATTTTCCGAATAAAATTTTTTTTGATGAAAATTAGAAATTTAAATTTTTACTAAAAATCTAAAATTTCAGAAAAAAAGTTATTTTCATTTTGGAACACTGCAAAATTTTTTTTTTATCTACTAATGAAGTTGTCAAGTAATTTTTTCGAAAAATATTGTAAAATAGATTGTGTTCATAAAATAATTTTTTAAAAATGAAACTTGCAACTACAATGTTCGCTTTAATTATATTTGCTGCTCACATGGGCTTGTTGATTTATGCTTATAATTATTATAAAAATATATCAACAATTTTTCATTTACGCATAGACCATGGTTGCTACTCATTGATTTCACTGATGGTAATGTCCATAGGTAAGTTATTAAGGGTTTAAAGTATGTTTAAAACGATTTTAAAGTCTATTACTTATTTATCTTTAGCCGTTTGTTTATTTCGTATATTACAAGATGTTGAAACTTTTCCCATTAAATTCATGCATGCTTTCCTTCATATGTTAGCCAGTGCCATAATGTATTATTCCCTTCTCGATTTGGAAGATCCGAATTGGCATTATTTACATGGCTTTCCAGCATTTGTTGTATATTATGGCTATTTTGCACAGGTTTGTTATGAGGTGAAATCAAATTTTGTGAAAATTGTATTTTGATATGTTCCCCTTTTTAGATGGCTTTTGCTTTGTTTATTTTTATGGCTTTACCATCTGGAGAACTTCGTGAGGCTCTAGCAGCTATTCATAGTGTGATTGGTGTTTGGTTATATTATTGTTATATCGGTATAGCTATAACCGGCTTACATTACTGCAGCACCAAGGATCAGGATCGTTATAAGGAAGAAACTAATCCATCTGGTGTGGAGAGTGATGCTTGTTTAAAACTATTGGTTTACTATAAAAATTTATTAATAATTTCCGCTATATTAATAAATTTCTTATTATTGTTTCCATATTTTCAATGGGATTTGGTAAGTATTAGTTGATTATAATAATTGTAACTTTTTTCTTTTTATTACTGTTTACTGGTTATTTATGAAAAATAATTATTAATACTTACAGATAGATCCATTATAAAGGCCATTTTTGTAACCACTCTTACACAAACTGTAAGTTAAATATATGTTACTAATTTGTTTTACAAAAATTTAACAAATTCTCACCTTTTATTGCAAGAAAAAAACAAAACAGATCATGTAATTTTAGGTCCTCTTTCACCCACCTTTCTTTTTAACATTTCTTTCAGCTCAAACTCATCCGGCAATTGTTCTTTTTCCGCCTGTTCATCCAGTACTTTCCTCAACTCACGTTTAACTTCATTTATACGCGAAGCATTTTTAGCCGATATTGGTATTATACGTTCAAATTTTAATACCTTTTCAGGTCGTATTTCCTGTGGACATTCTTCTAGTTTATTTTCAAGATTTTCCATGTTGTATTTATTGTTTTTAAGTATTTCACTAGCTCCTGTTACGTCCATTTTGTTTAATAATAAAACGCAGGGTTTATCCAATAATGTACGATCGTAAAGCTCCAATTCTTTATTAAGGGCAAATATATTTTGCACACAATCACGTGGTTCATGTTTGGGACTTAATTGAAAACCGAAAATATCGACCATAAACAAAAGTAGACGTGTACGTTCTATGTGCTTAAGAAATTTATGACCCATACCGAAATTAGCATGAGCTCCTTCAATTAAACCGGGCAGATCGGCTATAGTTATGGAACGTAAATCGCTATAGTTAACGGTGCCAATTTGAGGTCTTATGGTGGTGACTAGAAACACAAAGTTTAATCAAAATAATTGCAGATTAAATGATATAGGTTTTTAAAGTCTACTTACAGGGATACGAGGCTATCTTGGGTTTTGCATTGGATATCGCTTTCAGGAAAGTACTTTTGCCCGCATTGGGAAAACCCACCAAACCAACATCTGCTATTAGCTTCAAATCCAAGTTGACAATTTTATGTTCACCTGGTTTACCCAAGAAATTAGTACCCGAACAACCACCCATACCACCTCCGGCCGCTATACACTTGGAACCCGGTTCATTTAGATCAGCTATCAGCTTACCCGTTTCATCATAGATTTGTACTCCCACCGGCACCTCTATCTTTTCATCTACTCCCCGCCGGCCTAAAATACGCACCTTACTGCTGTCTTCACCACTGGTGGCAGCCGCCCGTTTTTCTTTATATTTTTGCGCCAGATGTCTTAAGGTAACACCTTCTTTGGCTTCTATATAGACACAGCCGCCTTGGCCACCAATACCGCCATATTTGGATATACCATTACCACCATGACCTCCCTTAACAGTTAAACGTAAAGTGTCTAGGAAAACATTGCCGCCTCTCATGTGTGACCGAGGAGGCTAAAGGGAAATACACGAGATTTATTAAAGAATTTCGTTATATTATTACAAAACTAAACGTACCTTTTTGCTGGCTTTTAATAGAAAAGTAAATAATTGTACCATTTTTTATAGATAATTAAACATTTATTAATTTTTAACCAAATCTTAACAAGTTATTCAATCCGGCGGCTGCAACAAACTAAAATGTAAACAAAACACAGCTGTTTTGCTGTTTCTTTACTCGGCAGAGTTGCCTAGCTCACATTTAAAGAAAAACCGTTAATTTTATTTAAAATTTTTAAGGTTTTTCCTGAAATTTATACTTTTTTCCAAAAATGTTATTAAATCTTAATCGCCGTTAACTTAATTTTTATTTTTTTCTTAATATTTACTTAAATTCTATTAAACAAACATATTTTCCTAAAATATTTATTTGTAGGCAACCCTTAGCATTTCTTTCTTTCTGTCATTATCGCGTCACTCTAGTTTTGTTTTCATACCAGACAGCACGTGTTGCAACTTGCAAGTTTATACATTGAATTTGTTTTAGTTTTAATTTAATATTTTTAATAAAATACAGTGCAATTTAATTAGTTGTTTTATAAAAAATGGAACCTGGTATTTGTTATATTAAACCAGAGTATGTAGTTTGTTAGAAATAAATGTTTATTAAAGTAAAAATTAACAATTAAAAACTTTTCATTAGATATTTGGTGGAAGATGTGAAGAAGACTGTTACAGCCGCTTCGGATAATGTAAATAAAGAGGAAAATAATAAAAGAAAACATTCAGAGGATGAAGGTGCCCCTAACAACGAATCGACAGAAGCTGCTGAAAATGGAAGTGGGAAGAAATTTCAGAAAACTAATAAGAAAGATCGGAAAAGGGGACAAAATAAGGTAAGATTTTGAAAATATTACAAAGAAATGGAAAATGTTTCTTTTGATGGTATTTTTTGATGAAAAAAGTTTAAGATTTTGCTCAGATTTTACTTCTGTTCTACGCTAGTTCTTGTTCCGTTCTAGTTCAGTTCTAGTTCAGTTCTATTTCAGTTCTAGTTCAATTCTAGTGCAGTTCTAGTTCGGTTCGGTTCTAGTTCAGTTCTAGTTCAGTTTTAGTTCAGTTCTAGTTCAGTTCTAGTTCAGTTCTAGTTCAGTTCTAGTTCAGTTCTAGTTCAGTTCTAGTTCAGTTCTAGTTCAGTTCTAGTTCAGTTCTAGTTCAGTTCTAGTTCAGTTCTAGTTCAGTTCAGTTCTAGTTCAGTTCTAGTTCAGTTCTAGTTCAGTTCTAGTTCAGTTCTAGTTCAGTTCTAGTTCAGTTCTAGTTCAGTTCTAGTTCAGTTCTAGTTCAGTTCTAGTTCAGTTCTAGTTCAGTTCTAGTTCAGTTCTAGTTCAGTTCTAGTTCAGTTCTAGTTCAGTCCTAGTTTAGTTCAGTTCTAGTTTAGTTCAGTTCTAGTTCAGTTCTAGTTCAGTTTTAGTTCAGTTCTAGTTCAGTTCTAGTTCAATTCTAGTTCAGTTCTAGTTCAGTTCAAGTTTAGTTCTAGTTCAGTTCTAGTTCAGTTCTAGTTCAGTTCTAGTTCAGTTCTAGTTCAGTTCTAGTTCAGTTCTAGTTCAGTTCTAGTTCAGTTCTAGTTCAGTTCTAGTTCAGTTCTAGTTCAGTTCTAGTTCAGTTCTAGTTCAGTTCTAGTTCAGTTCTAGTTCAGTTCTTATTCAGTTCTAGTTCAGTTCTAGTTCAGTTCTAGTTCAGTTCTAGTTCAGTTCTAGTTCAGTTCTAGTTCAGTTCTAGTTCAGTTCTAGTTCAGTTCTAGTTCAGTTCTAGTTCAGTTCTAGATCAGTTCTAGTTCAGTTCTAGTTCAGTTCTAGTTCAGTTCTAGTTCAGTTCTAGTTCAGTTCTAGTTCAGTTCTAGTTCAGTTCTAGTTCAGTTCTAGTTCAGTTCTAGTTCTGTTCTAGTTCAGTTCAAGTGCAGTTCTAGTTCAAATCTAGATCCGTTCTATTTATTTTAGTAAAACAAACGATTTATTTATAAAGAATGAACTACATTATCCAAATTTTCCTCTCTCTGAAATTCCCAGCATCGCCCTGTTTACAAAGAAGATCGTACTTTGCATCTCTGCAATTCTTTAATAAATGGACCCTCCGAAAACAAATGTCCTTTGGAAAATTGTCGTTATGTTCATGATTTAGAACAGTATTTAGCTAATAAAGGTGAAGATCTAGGCGATAAGTGTCCCGTATATGAAGCCAAAGGCTATTGTCCTCGTGGTGTAACCTGTCGTTTTGCTAAGGCACATTTAGATAGTGAGGGTCGTAATATTAAAAAACCCGAATATGATGAAAATGCACCACCTACCACCTGCAATGGTATAAACTCAGAAATGCAAATACGTTTAAGGAAAAGAGATTATGATTTTTCCAAATCCAAAGAAATGGTAAAAGAAGCAGAAAAAGTAAGAGATGCTAGGAAAGAGAAGCAGGATTCCCAAAAGGAAGATCAAAAACTAACTGAAGATAAACAAGCAAATAAAGAAGAAAAACCAGTAGGATCGTGTGTGAATGAGGAGGATACTAAGGGCAGAGATGCGAAACAAACAAAACCCATAGACTTTGCCGAAAAATTAGTATTATCACCTTTGACAACAGTGGGTAACTTACCTTTTCGACGTATATGTAAAGAATTTGGAGCCGATATAACCTGCGGTGAAATGGCCTGTTGTGTACCTTTAGTTAAAGGTATGACTCAAGAATGGGCTCTTACGAAACGTCATGCATCCGAGGACATATTTGGTGTACAACTATGTGGCAATAATCCCAATATTATAGCACAAACAGCACAGCTATTGCAGGAGACTGCTAAAGTTGATTTTCTCGATTTAAACATTGGTTGTCCTATCGACTTAATCTACCAACAAGGCGGTGGTAGTGCTTTAATGAGAAGATCTAATATTTTAGAATTGACGGTACGCTCCTGTTCGGCTTTGAATCCTTTAATACCGTTTACGGTAAAAATGCGTACCGGTATATATGCCGATAAAAGTGTGGCCCATGATTTAATGCCTTTGGTAGAGGAATGGGGTGCTGCAGCAGTAACGGTAAGTGGAATTTGAGAACAAATTTGAAATGTGAAACAATTCTAATATTTTCTTTTATTTTAGTTACACGGTCGCTCACGTGAACAACGTTATACCAAGAATGCTAATTGGGAATATATAGAGGAATGTGCGGCCAAAGTTAAAAATATACCTGTGATTGGTAATGGTGATATTTTAAGTTATGAAGACTATATGGAAAAGAGGGTAAGTTTCAAAATGTTTATATTTATTTCTTAACTTTTTTGCAAGCTATAAATTATATTTCAAAATATAATATACTGATTTAGAAATCAACTAGTACTGAACTAGAACTGAACTTGAACTGAACTAGAACAGAACTAGAACTGAACTAGAACTGAACTAGAACTGAACTAGAACTGAACTAGAACTGAACTAGAACTGAACTAGAACTGAACTAGAACTGAACTAGAACTGAACTAGCACTGAACTAGAACTGAACTAGAACTGAACTAGAACTGAACTAGAACTGAACTAGAACTAGAACTGAACTAGAACTGAACTAGAACTAAACTAGAACTGAACTAGAACTGAACTAGAACTGAACTAGAACTGAACTAGAACTGAACTAGTACTGAACTAGAACTGAACTAGAACTGAACTAGAACTGAACTAGAACTGAACTAGAACTATAGTAGAACTGAACTAGAACTGAACTAAAACTGAACTAGAACTGAACTAGAACTGAACTAGAACTGAACTAGAACTGAACTAGAACTGAACTAGAACTGAACTAGAACTGAACTAGAACTGAACTAGAACTGAACTAGAACTGAACTAGAACTGAACTAGGACTGAACTAGAACTGAACTAGAACTGAACTAGAACTGAACTAGAACTGAACTAGAACTGAACTTGAACTGAATTAGAACTGAACTAGAACTGAACTAGAACTGAACTAGAACTGAACTAGAACTGAACTAGAACTGAACTAGAACTGAACTAGAACTGAACTAGAACTGAACTAGAACTGAACTAGAACTGAACTAAAACTGAAAGAACTGAACTAGAACTGAACTGGAACTGAACTAGAACTGAAAGAACGAACTGAAACTGAACTAGAACTGATCTAGAACTGAACTAGAACTGAACTAGAACTGAACTAGAACTGAACTAGAACTGAACTAGAACTGAACTAGAACTAGAACTGAACTAGAACTGAACTAGAACTGAACTAGAACTGAACTAGAACTGAACTAGAACTGAACTAGAACTGAACTAGAACTGAACTAGAACTGAACTAGAACTGAACTAGAACTGAACTAGAACTGAACTAGAACTGAACTAGAACTGAACTAGAACTGAACTAGAACTAGAACTGAACTAGAACTGAACTAGAACTGAACTAGAACTGAACTAGAACTGAACTGAACTAGAACTGAACTAGAACTGAACTAGAACTGAACTAGAACTGAACTAGAACTGAACTAGAACTGAACTAGATCTGAACTAGAATTGAACTAGAACTGAACTAGAACTAAACTATTTCAATTTGATTAACAAATATTTAATATCTTTTCTACTAGAAAATTGCACCCCATGTGTCATCGGTTATGATCGGTCGTGGTGCCTTAATAAAACCTTGGATTTTCAAAGAAATTAAAGAACAAAAGAATTGGGATCCCTCTTCGGCCGAACGTTTCGAAATAATGCGTAAATATGTCAACTACGGCCTAGAACATTGGGGTTCCGATACTAAGGGAGTTGAGAACACCCGACGTTTTTTGCTGGAATGGCAATCATTCCTCTACCGTTACATACCCTACGACCTAATGATGCAGCCACCACAGAAAATCAACCAAAGACCACAAACCTTTAGAGGACGTGATGAAATGGAAACCTTAATGAGTTCACCCAACTCACAAGATTGGGTAAAATTAAGTGAAATGTTATTGGGTCCAGTGCCAGAAGGTTTTACCTTTATGCCAAAACACAAGGCCAATGCATATTAAGCAGAGAAAGGTAATATAAAAAAAAGACAATAAAAATTTATAGATTTTTAGAAAAAATTTGGCTTTATTTTCAGTTTAGTAGAATTAAACAAGAAAACACTTTTTAAATAAACATAAAAAACATAACTTAAAAACTAATCACAATAGCAGAGAACAACTTAAGCTTTTTGATAGTATTCCAAAGCTTCTTCAACATCCAATTTGGAGCCCAAGAAAATGGGAGATCTTTCATGGATCTTTTGAGGAACAATATCCAAAATGGGAATCTTGCCATTGCTGGCCAAACCACCAGCCTCAGTCATCAAATAGGCCATGGGATTGCACTCGTACAACAAACGCAATTTACCATTGGGGGCAGATTTGGTAGCGGGGTAGATGAAAATGCCACCGTACTTAATGGTACGATGAACATCAGCTACCATAGAACCGACATAACGGGCACCATAGGGTTTGCCTTTTGAGGGATCCTTTTTGGCAGCAACATAGTTGAAAACGCCAGCCTCCCAATCAGCAGCATAACCTTCATTGATGGCATAGATTTTGCCCTTTTCGGGGACACGCATGTTGGGTTCAGTCAAAATGAATTCACCAATAGCAGGATCATAGGTGAAACCATTAACACCGGAGCCAGGGCCCAAAGCCAAAACAATAGCAGTGGCTGAACCATACAAAGCATAACCGGCAGCAACAATTTGATTGCCAGGCTGCAAAGCATCCTGAACAGTGGGTGCACCCTCAGATTGTTTGCGGTAAATGGAGAAAATAGAACCAATAGAGACCAAACAATCAATGTTGGAAGAACCATCCAAAGGATCGAAGCAAACAATATATTTGCCCTAAAAACAAAACCAACAAAACAATTAATATTTGTTATCAATAAATCCATTAGATACACACCTGTTTCTCAACTTCCACCTCAATAACATTTTCATTTTCTTCCGAAACCATCAGACAAGTGGTGTAAGAAGATTTCAACATATTGATGAACAATTCATTAGACAAAACATCCAATTTCTTAACTTCTTCTCCTTGTACGTTAACATCACCAGCAATACCATGCAATTTGGCAATACCAGCCTTACGTACAGCCGAAGCAATAGCCTTAATCGAAGTTTGAATACAATTCAATAATTGTGACAAATCACCGGTGGCATTTTTGAATTTACGCTGTTCCTGTAACACGAAACGTGTTAAGGTCATGGCGTTGGAGTCAAAAGCTTGACCTTGTTGTGTCATATTGTCTAGAAAAGGAAAATAATAGCATTAGTATTCTATAATAAGGAAAATATTTTGATAGAAAGTAAACAACACATGCAAAAGGAGCTGCAATAGAACAAATAACAATAAAGCATGCAAAATTTTGCTGGCAAAGGAGTAAAACAAAGCTACAGGATTTATTGCCAAGGAGCAACTAGCTAAGGACAAGTTTAAAGGATTTTTTCAACAAGGGTAAGTGCGATTACATTATTTTTCTTAAATACTTAGATTTTAGTAAAAAATTTCAACTTCTTTAAAGACAAATTATAAAAAATTAGTTAAAATTCAAAACAATTGAATTTTTTAAAAATTGTATTATGAATTTGAGGGCATAGCGAATTGCAGTTAGTATAATTTGCAATATTATTTCCAATTCAAATTGTAACAGACTGAACAAATTGTTTAGTTTAGCATTTAGATGCTAATCCTTAAAACTTACTATCAGCGCCAGTCATTTTGAATTAAACCTTTTTATATGACCTTGATCTGTAGAAAATATAATAAAAATTTACAAAAAAAAAAAAAAAAAAACATTTTAATTAAATTGTAAATTTTGAAATGAATATTAAGCAATATGTTAATTAGTTTAAGTTCAAAGTTAGACTTAGGGTCAATATTTCAACATGCGTTTAAACGGCAGATATACTACCGGTTAAAATGATTTTTGAATGAAAACTTTTAATTTGTCGTTAGGATACAAAATAAATAAATGGGGTTTGTCTAGTCTACCTATATAACTAGTATATATTAGTGGTCTTTAAGCTAGTCTATAGTCTATTATATAGACTAGTCTGTAGTCTATTATATAGACTATTCTTTCGTCTGTACTATTGCCTAGTCTTTAGTTTTCATTCTGTTCTATTATCCAGTCTTTAGTCTAGTCTATAGACTAGTATTTAGTCTGTTCTTTTGCCTAGTCTTTAGTCTAGTCTGTAGATAAGACGTTAGTCTAGTACATAGACTAGTCTTTAATACTAGTCTATAGACCATTTTTTAGGCTCTTCTATCGTTAGTCTTTAGTCTAGCCCAGAGACTAGTCTTAGACTCTTCTATTATATATTCTTTAGTCAAGCCCATAGTCTATAGTTAGTCCAGTCTATAGCCTAGTCTAGTCTAGTCTATAGTCTATTCTATAGTCTAGTCTATTCTATAGTCTAGTCTATTCTATAGTCTATTCTATAGTCCTAGTCGATAGTCTAGTCGATAGTCTAGTCGATAGTCTAGTCGATAGTTCTAGTCGATAGTCTAGTCTATAGTCTAGTCTATAGTCCCTAGTCCAGTCTATAGTCCAGTCTATTAGTCCTAGTCTATATGTCCTAGTCTATAGTCTAGAGTCCTAGTCCTATAGTCTAGTCTATAGTCTAGTCTATAGTCTAGTCTATAGTCCTAGTCTATAGTCTAGTCTATAGTCTAGTCATAGTCTAGTCTATAGTCTAGTCTATAGTCTAGTCTATAGTCTAGTCTATAGTCTAGTCTATAGTCTAGTCTATAGTCTAGTCTATAGTCTAGTCTATAGTCTAGTCTATAGTCTAGTCTATAGTCTAGTCTATAGTCTAGTCTATAGTCTAGTCTATAGTCTAGTCTAGAGTCTAGTCTATAGTCTAGTCTATAGTCTAGTCTATAGTCTAGTCTATAGTCTAGTCTATAATCTAGTCTATATTCTAGTCTATAGTCTAGTCTATAGTCTAGTCTATAGTCTAGTCTATAGTCTATAGTCTAGTCTATACTCTAGTCTATAGTCTAGTCTATAGTCTAGTCTATAGTCTAGTCTATAGTCAAGTCTATAGTCTAGTCTATAGTCTAGTGTATAGTCTAGTCTATAGTATAGTCTATAGTCTAGTCTATAGTCTAGTCTATAGTCTAGTCTAGTCTAGTCTATAGTCTAGTCTATAGTCTAGTCTAGTCTATAGTCTAGTCTAGTCTATAGAACTAGTCTAGTCTATAGTCTAGTCTAGTCTAGTCTAGTCTATAGTCTAGTTCTAAGTTAGTCTAGTCTATAGTCCCTAGTCTATAGTCTAGTCTAGTCTAGTCTATAGTCTAGTCTAGTCTAGTCTATTAGTCTATAGTCTATAGTCTAGTCTAGTCTAGTCTATAGTCTAGTCTAGTCTATCGTCTAAGTCTAGTCTATAGTCTAGTCTATAGTCTAGTCTAGTCTATAGTCTAGTCTAGTCTATTAGTCTAGTCTAGTCTATAGTCTAGTCTATAGTCTAGTCTATAGTCTAGTCTATAGTCTAGTCTATAGTCTGTCTATAGTCTAGTCTATAGTCTAGTCTATAGTCTAGTTATAGCTAGTCTGTCTAGTCTATGTCTAGTCATAGTCTAGTCTAGTCTAGTCTATAGTCTAGTCTATAGTCTAGTCTATAGTCTAGTCTAGTCTCGTCTATAGTCTGTCTAGTCTAGTCTAAGTCTAGTCTAGTCTAGGTCTAGTCTAGTCTATAGTCTATAGTCTATAGTCTATCTAGTCTAGTCTAGTCTAGTCTAGTCTAGTCTAGTCTAGTCTAGTCTAGTCTATAGTCTAGTCAGTCTATAGTCTGTCTAGTCTAGTCTAGTCTAGTCTAGTCTAGTCTAGTCATAGTCTAGTCTATAGTCTAGTCTATAGTCTAGTCTATAGTCTAGTCTATAGTCTAGTCTATAGTCTAGTCTATAGTCTAGTCTATAGTCTAGTCTATAGTCTAGTCTATAGTCGAGTCTATAGTCTAGTCTATAGTCTAGTCTATAGTCTAGTCTATAGTCTAGTCTATAGTCTAGTCTATAGTCTAGTCTATAGTCTAGTCTAGTAGTCTAATCTATAGTCTAGTCTATAGTCTAGTCTATAGTCTAGTCTATAGTCTAGTCGATAGTCTAGTCTATAGTCTAGTCTATAGTCTAGTCTATATCTAGTCTAAGTCTATCTATAGTCTAGTCTATAGTCTAGTCTATAGTCTAGTCTATAGTCTAGTCTATAGTCTAGTCTATAGTCTAGTCTATAGTCTAGTCTATAGTCTAGTCTATAGTCTAGTCTATAGTCTAGTCTATAGTCTAGTCTATAGTCTAGTCTATAGTCTAGTCTATAGTCTAGTCTATAGTCTAGTCTATAGTCTAGTCTATAGTCTAGTCTATAGTCTAGTCTATAGTCTAGTCTATAGTCTAGTCTATAGTCTAGTCTATAGTCTAGTCTATAGTCTAGTCTATAGTCTAGTCTATAGTCTAGTCTATAGTCTAGTCTATAGTCTAGTCTATAGTCTAGTCTATAGTCTAGTCTATAGTCTAGTCTATAGTCTAGTCTATAGTCTAGTCTATAGTCAAGTCTATAGTCTAGTCTATAGTCTAGTCTATAGTCTAGTCTATAGTCTAGTCTATAGTCTAGTCTATAGTCTAGTCTATAGTCTAGTCTATAGTCTAGTCTATAGTCTAGTCTATAGTCTAGTCTATAGTCTAGTCTATAGTCTAGTCTATAGTCTAGTCTATAGTCTAGTCTATAGTCTAGTCTATAGTCTAGTCTATAGTCTAGTCTATAGTCTAGTCTATAGTCTAGTCTATAGTCTAGTCTATAGTCTAGTCTATAGTCTAGTCTATAGTCTAGTCTATAGTCTAGTCTATAGTCTAGTCTATAGTCTAGTCTATAGTCTAGTCTATAGTCTAGTCTATAGTCTAGTCTATAGTCTAGTCTATAGTCTAGTCTATAGTCTAGTCTTTAGTCTAGTCTATAGTCTAGTCTATAGTTTAGTCTATAGTCTAGTCTATAATCTAGTCTATAGTCTAGTCTATAGTCTAGTCTATAGTCTAGTTTTTAGTCTAGTCTATAATCTAGTCTATAGTCT